AATGTGGCCTTCCATGTACATCTGAGACCTATGTACAAGTATTCTATACACCAGTAAAACAGCAGGGCAATTAGTTAATTAAAAAAAATAATTAGTACATGTTATGCATAATAAAATTAAAGAAATTTACAAAGGCTTTGCTTTTCTTTGTTTTTGTTTTTTTTTTTTTTTAAGTTTTTTTTTTTAGCAACCGTCGGGGTGGATCTTTAGTGTGAGTTGGGGTGTTGGTGGTTGCTGGTTTGGGGGCCGGGGGTGGCTCTGCTGGGGCCCCCTCAGATGATGCCGTTGGGGGGGCCACAGATGGGCCCCAGGTCCACCCCGTTCTTCATGTAGTACTTCTCCAGCTTGGCCAGGATGTGTTTGCCGTAGGTGTACTTGCGCAGGGTCGCGATGTGAGGCCGGATCTGGGAGGGCAAAAGCAGAAAAAAGTGGGATTTAGGAACCTGTGTCACGTGGGGTCCGTCCCTGGAGAGCTCCGGGTCCTGCCAGAGCGGCAAAAACTTCTGAGATGTCACAGAATCAGAATATCCAGAGTTGGAACCCCCAAGGATCATCCATCCAACTCCTGGCCCTGCACAGACACCCCAACAATCCCACCCTGGCCCTGGGAATGTTGTCCAAACCCTCCTGGAGCTCTGGCAGCCTTGGGGCTGTGCCCACTGCCCTGGGGAGCCTGGGCAGTGCCCAACCAGCCTCTGGGGGAAGAACCTTTGCCTGAGATCCACCCTGAGCCTGCCCTGGCACAGCTCCCTCAGGTCCTGTCACTGGATATCAAAGCACCCTTTGCTGTCACCACACAGCTCCTGGGAATTGAGGGAATCATCCAGAACTCATGGGTGGGATTTTTCACCTGGTCGAGCAGGTGGCAACACGGATTTAAATGTAGTGGTTTCACACTGAAGGAGGGTTAGAGGGGACACTGGGGAGAAATCCTTCCCTGGGAGGGTGGGCAGGCCCTGGCACAGGTTGTCCAGAGAAGCTGTGGCTGCCCCTGGATCCCTGGAAGTGTCCAAGGCCAGGTTGGAGCAACCTTGGCTGGTGGAAGGTGTCCCTGCCCATGGCAGAGGGTGGGACTGGATGAGCTCTGAGGTCCCTTCCAACCCAAACCATTCCAGGATTTCATTATTGTGACTTCCTGCTCTCCAAATGGGAGCTGCAGCTGGGATGAGGGAATAGCCAGGCCTGATGGGCAGCAATTCCCTACTCCATAGGTGGACAGACCCCCACCACTGACCATCACCCTCCCATGGGAAACTCATCCCAAACTTATCCTCTGTCAGCAGCTCAGCCTCCAGCCCTTTAAATTCCTGTTCCACCTCCAGGACCCACCTCCCAGCAACCATGAATCCATGCCTTGGCTCCCCACACCCCATTCCCAAGGTCTGGTGGCTGTGCTGAGGAAAAAGAGCAGTGAAGCTCCCCAGGTCCAACAATTCCTTCTTTGTTCACCTTCATTCCCGAGACTTTCTTTGTCTTTACTGACGGAACCGTTAAAATTACTTTCCAATTCTATTTTTTTCCAACAAATTGCCCTCTTTAACCCCACACAAAGTGCTGTTTGTACAACACCTACATTCCCAATCCATAGCAATTCCCACAGTGCACAAGCTCCACTTTCCCAGACTTTCCTTCAGCCTGATATCACAGCTCGAATCTTCATATTCACTCAGCCCTATTTAGCTGTCAACCCAGTGCTATTTTTGACAGCCCCACTGATAATCTAATTTGCATTTGATTCAAAAGGCTTTGCTTGACAGGAAAAAGAAAGTAACATCAGTAATGATAATTTGTACATTTTTTGAACACACAGCTCTCTATTACAGATTAGCAGAGCTCCAGGCCCTTCTGCTGCACTCAAATTGGGTGCATCCCTTGCCAGACATCCCCATTTAATTATCTTCAGCATTTCTTCTGGACTAAACCAGATTTTAGTCTAAAAGAACTACTCTGAGTGATTCCTAAATGTAAGAATTAACCTTCCTGAAGATTATTTCAGCTGTTTATGTTGATTAATCTACTGAACAACTGCCTCGTGGAAGTAAAACCAGCTCACTGACACTAATTCCCACTATTTATAGAAAATCCACTTGGTCTGTTTTACTCGAGGATTCTTAAATATAGTAAGAAAAATTCTTCGTTAGGATTTCAATAACTGACACTATTCACAGTTCCTCTTAAAAATAAATCAATGAACAGGGGGTTTTCCAAGTCAGTGTCAGACAGGATTTCATTTCTATTAAGAGCTCTGGATGGAACTGGGGTTTTTCATCAAGGGACACACCCCAAAACTTGTCCCTGAAGAAAATAACCTCAGTTCTACCACCCAATTAAAGCCTCTTATTTTCCATGCATTGCAATTACAAAGCCCTGCAAATGTGACCTTTCACAGCAGGGAAAAATGAAGACATTCCCTGATTTCAGAGCTCCCTGCCCTTGGGACAACAGGCAAACAGCCCTTGGGGCAGGACTGGCAGAAAGGGAGATTTCATTCCAAAGTGGCTTCATTTCTGACAAATATGAAGTTTTGGGATGGTTCTGCATTCAAACATCGCAGTATAATGCTAAATCATACAAGTTTTGGACATCAGGAGGAACTTCCTCATGGAGAGGGTGGTCAGGCCTTGGCAGGGGCTGCCCAGGGAGGTTTGGAGTCCCCACCCCTGGAGGTGCCCAAGGAAGGCCTGGCCGTGGCACTCAGTGCTCTGGGCTGGGGGACAAGGTGGGGACTGGGCACAGGGGGGACTCCATGGGCTGGGAGGGCTTTTCCAACCTCAAGGACTCCGGGATTCTGTCAAGTTTCCCATCTAAACCCATTTCCAAGTGACCAGCAGAGGATTTGGTTGGTGGGGTGGGCTCGCGGGGGCAGCGGCACGGTGTCACCCCACAGCCCTCCCGAAGGGCCACTGGCACAGGAAGGGCTGGCAGCCCCCAGGGCTGGGGCCAGCGGGTCTGGGCAGCTCTGGCTCAGCCCCACAGAGCGCTAGAACTGCTCTCCTCAGCCACAGCTGCTCAGAGAGGGCAAGAGTGTCGTCATTGCCAGAGCCCGGGGACCCACCAGGGCCCTGCCACCAGTGCTGGGGGGCTGAGCAGGGTGTGCTGCCAGGGCAGGGCTGGGGCAGAGGGGCACAGGGCCTGCTGGGGGCAGCCAGCTGGATGTAAGGCCAAATGGCATCTTGTTACCTCTCCAGAAAGCTGGAGGGGGACTTTGGACAAGAGTATGGAGTGACAGAACAAAGAGGAATGGTTTCACACTGAGGGCAGGGTTAGATGGGATGTTGGGGAGAAATTTTTCCATCAGCACCCAACATCTGAAGGACGTGGAGTTGCTGGAGAGAGTCCAGAAGAGGCCACAGAGATACTCCAGGGCTGGAGCCCCACTGCTCTGGAGCCAGGTTGGGAGTGTTCACCTGGAGAAGAGAAGGTTCCAGGGAGCCCTAAGAGCCCTTTCCAGGGCCTAAAGGGGCTCCAGAAGAGCTGGAGAGGGAGTGGGGTCAAGGGATGGAGGGACAGGACACAGGGAATGGCTTCCCACTGCCAGAGGGCAGGGATAGATGGGATATTGGGAAGGAATTGTTGGCTGTGAGGGTGGGGAGGCCCTGGCCCAGGTTGCCCAGAGAAGCTGTGGCTGCCCCTGGAATCCCTGGAAGTGTCCAAGGCCAGGTTGGACGGGGCTTGGAGCAACCTGGGCTAGTGGGAGGTGTCCCTGCCCATGGCAGGGGGTTGGGAACGAGGTGAGCTTTCCAACCTGTTCTATAACCTTCACATTCCAGCTGCTGCTGAAATACCCAACTCAACCCCCTCATCCCAAACCAATCCTCAGCCTCCTTCTCTCTCCTCACCCACCGCGACAGCGACAGCTTTGCCTCCTCATCAACCCCCGGCACCCGCTCACCTTGTGCATGACAATCTTCCTCTGGGCTGGCTCTGCCACATCGATCATCTTCTGCACCACGTAGTTGGCATATTGATCCTTCATCATGGTGTATAAGGCACTGTGGGGGCCGTCGTTCATGGTGCACACCTCGTCGATCAGCATGGCCCGCTCCGTGCGCGACGCGTGCGTCACACACTTCTCCACCACGTTACTGCAACGACACAGGGGAGAGCCCGTGAGCCAGAACTCCCCCGGCCTTCCCAGCCAACCCCAAGGAGATCCCTCACGCTGCCAGTGCAGGTGCCCTCTCTTATGCTGTCCCTCATTTGGGACACGTGGAGGTGGTGGTGTTCAGTGATGTGAAACGAGAGAGCAGAGCTTGGGATCCAAGAGGGAATTTGGGAAATGGACCAGTTCAGGGTTTATTTCACCCGAATTTGTGCGACTTCTACAATGATCAGGGTCTGTTCTCAAAGTGTGTCCATCAGAGAGTCACAGAATCACAGGATATTCTGAGCTGGAAAGGACCCACAAGGATCATCAAGTCCAGCTCTTAAGGGAATGGCCCATTGAGTCCAATCTTCTCCACCACAACGACACAACAAGGAGAATCCAGGGCTTTCCAGCCAACCCCAGGGAGATCTCTCAAGCTGCCAGCAAGGGCAGGTCATTTGGGACAGAGGAAGGTGCTGGTAGAGTTCAGTGAGGTGAAACAGGAGAGCGGAATTTGGAATCTGTGAGGGAATTTGGGAAATGGACCAGTTCAGGTTCTGTTTCACCCAAATTTGTGCAGTTCTACAACAATGCTGTATGAGATCAGTGCCTGTTCTCACAGCTTGTCCATCAGAGAACCACAGAATATTCTGAAGGATATTGGAAGGGACCTACAAGGATCAGAGTCCAGCTCTGAAGTACATGGGCCACACGGGGATCAAACTCACAGCCTCGGTGTGTTTTTAGCATCAGGCTCTAGAAGGAGTTATTTTGTTTGCTTTTCTCTGTACTGGGACACAATGGGAATGGAGATCCAAGGTTAGAACAACAGGGAAATGCTTATTCAGGAACGAAAAATCTCAGCAAAGGCAGAGAATTTCCAGAATTCCTGAATATATTAATGACTCGTCTCTGCTCTCCGGAGAGCCAAGTTAAGTAGGATACATGAAAGGGGACCAAGGCATGTGCTGGTCTCATCTTCCACATCCCTGCCTGACTCACAGAACCATCAGTGGTTTGCTCAGCTCAGGGGACATCCCACACTAATTAATGCTCCATCTGGAAAAAAGGAGTTGAGGAAAAAAGAGCAAGGCAAGTCAGGGAGGAAGAACCTGAAATAACAACGTGAAGACCACGCTCTCCTAAATCTCATTAATGTTACACCTCCCTCGTGTCCCCAAGTACTGAAGCACTATTTTACTCATCACAGAAAGGGGGAATACTGAGCCTTTGAAGAGCTCAGCCTTCATGTTCAGTGGCTGGAAGCACATCCAGCAGGAATTTACACAGGTGGGAAGCGTTGCTTTGTCCTCGCAGCCACAAAGGCACCTGGATTTTGCTTTACCCACACGCAGCTCTGCAGCATTTGGAGTCAAAACTGGGAATGCTGAGAGGGAATCCCTGTGCACACCTCAAAAGGGACTGCAAGGCTCAGCACGTCAAAATGCTGGGAAATGATGCTGTGAACACAAATTCTTCTGTGAAAAGCGGGATGAAAAAGAATTGTTGTGACACCGATTTCTCAAACTCCCTTCACAGTGTTCCGGGGCAGTGAAATGCTCTGAGGGCATGGTACTATCAAGGGACAGTGACCACTTAAAATCCACCAGAATAAAACACACAGGAACTCCTGGCCAAGTTCAGGAGCTTGGATCAGAGCTACTCTTCCACATTTACATCCTCCTTCATTACTCCAAGACTTACCTTGCTGATGCACCCGAGGTTATAACAGTTATAAATAACATTTTTTTAATTAAGCAAAAAGTTCTTTTCACCTATTTCACCTCCCTACAACCCACCCCTAACTCTTGTGTCCATGCTCCCAGAGGGGTGGAGGCTTTAAGGAAGGAATTCATACCTAGCAAATTTATGTTGACTCAACACGAGCACGTTGCCTCTAATTTCTGCTACAATCTTGCTCTTATCCTCGGGCCGACCATGTTCTAGCACATGCTGGATAACATAGTTCCCATACTGATCCTGTTTGAGAGACAGCAGAAGTGTGTGACAAAAGGTGGACAGGAACCATTCACAGCAAACCAGTTCCCAATGTGCAATCAGAGTTACAGACTTTGACTAAAAACTAACTGAAATATCTACTGTGCAAATCATCTCAATACTTTCTGCTCCCACAAAAACGTGCATTCCAAATTCTAAATCCATTCTAGAGTGAAAAATGCTGCATTTCTGTAGCAATTGTATCGATTGTAAAACTCAAAACAATGTTCTTCCACGGGAAATGTCAATATTCTGCTTATTCCCAGTTTTCTTCCCTTTCTCCAGGTTCAAATGTATCAAATCACGTGTCCTGGAGGGCTGTGCCACGGGACACTGTCCTTAAGCATATTCATGTTCTGAATTTGGGGATATTCAGATCCCAGGATATAAATATTGCAGTTCACAATCCCAGAAATGGCCTGATGCCTCAAAGCCATGTCCAACCTCTTCCCACTTCCCAAATCCTGAGCGCACAGGACAGGCTTTGTTTGCTGGATTTGCTCAATCCATTGTGCCCCAATAGCAGAATCCATGTAAAATCCTGCTAAACCAGGTTCTCAGAAGGACTGCAAGGGAGAGGAAAGGCAGCCAGGAAGGGGGTGTGCATAAAACCAACTCATTTTAAGAACAATTACTTGACACTTCCTTTTCCTGAGAATAATCAGCTTTTGGCACAGGCTCCTTTCAGCTCTCACTTGCACTGTGACTCCTGGAAGGCAGCACCAGGACATGTTTCCACCTGGGATCCATCCCAAAGAGAAAGGTCACTACACTTCTGGTACCCCATGGACATGTGCACATGACCAAAGCAGCCAGTGCTGACCAGTTCCTGCTTCCTCTGCTCCTCCCCATTCCTCCTGGGAAGGGAATCCCACAGCCCCAGCAGCGCTACAGGCTGCAGGAGCTTTCCCAGCGAAAAGCAGAGACCCAGAAACACCTCCCAGCACCTGCATCCCCCTTCCCACACCCACCTGCACCAGCTGCTCGGTGTGTTGGTGAAGCTCCTCCAGGATGGGCAGGGTCTGCTCGGGAAGACAGTGCTCCAGGATCCTCTGGATCACGCGGCAGCCGTAGGGGTGTGTGGACAACGCGAACACCTGGGGCCAGCAGGGACAGAGCACAGGCACCAACACCTCTGTTAGCCCTTGGGAATCCCAGAAACCTCCCAGAGTTAAATGCACACGTGCTGGTTTTTCCTGGCCAGCTCCAGACACATCCAAGGCGACTGGAAACATCTGTTCCCCACTGCCAGGTGATCACACCCCATCCCTCCCCGCGCTTCCGCTTCCCCACCCATGGGACAGGAAAACCAGTGGTAAAGCCTCTTGATTAATAAAAGAACACTGGGCAACCAGGCATTATTAGGAGCTCTGTCTCAGAGGAATAATTCCAACCCAAGTTTTGAGCTATGTAAGAAATGCTATCAGCCAGAAAAGTTGAAAACACCCAGCAAAGGATTTTCCTCAACTGTTTGGGTTTGTTTAAAAGCCTTAACAGTGCTCAGAAGAAGTGACAACAAAGCATCTATCTCATTTCTAAAGGATTAGCAAATCTGTGGGTAAGAACATGACACGTTGGGTTATTGCTGCTCAGTTTTCTGTCTCAAGCACAAAGTCCTGTTTGGTTGCCCCAAATTAACAACAGCAGCAAATCCGAGCACCGAAGTTAAATCGACAGCTTGAACATTTTTAATAATTGTTGAGTAAACTGTGCAGGGAAACAGGGCTTGGAGTGCAATTAAGTGCAGGAAAATAGTCTGGAGGTGATAAGTTTAATCCTCCATGTGAAGGGTCAGATGAAACTGGGACAGCTGGTCAAGGAAATGTCAGTGCCACCAACTTTCTGCCTTCCCAAACTCCCCAAGGAAGGGCTAAAGCTAAACTCTAACCAGCAAATCTGCTGAGCCAGTTCCCAGCTAGAATCATGCTTGTTTTGACACAGCCAAGCAAGTTCCCACTTTCCCAGCTGAGCCAGGACTAAGAACTCCTGGTTCCTGCTGGAACAGCCCCTGGCTGTCCTCACATCCCTGGGGCAAATCCCTCAGTACGTCAAAGTCCCCCTGCAAAGCCAATTAAGCTGAGGTTGGGAACACCAAAGCAGCACTCCTGGAACGGGAGATGAGCTGACTGCAGGCAGAGCAAAGCCAGCTACACAACTGGTATCGATTCAGGAGAGCACAGCAATATAAAACCCATCTGAATCAGGCACAACTGCCCTTTCCTAGATGAAACTCGAATTTTTCCTCTGGTCTGAGGCCCTTGGGAATCAGAATTCCTCCTAATCCCACCCTCGCAGACAGGGATCATAAGGAAAGTCTGCTACAGGCAGCACAACACTCTGCTAACTGGGAAGATGGATTAAGGAGAGACTTGTTTTCCCTCCATCAGTCAGAAATACTTGATGTTCCAGAAGAACAGCCTTTTGCAGGGATGCTTTCCTGTGACAGATCTGCACAGAAATGATAACACAGACGTGACCAAGGAGCTTCAGGGCTCACTCCCACGGCTGCATCAACCTTTCAACCCATACTTGCTAAGATTTAAAATTCCAAAGAGTTCAGCAAGTCACAGCCACTCTCAGGCTGTTAAAAACAGGAATACAAGGAGTGAGGACTGGGCAAGGACTCACCTGGCCCTTGAAGGCATCGATGATGAACTGCAGGGACTGAGGCTGCACGCACTCAATGCACTTCTGCACCACGTGGTTCCCGTTCTGGTCCTTCACACACTTGAGGACGTGCCCGTCCAGCTCCCGAACCATCTCGTTCTATGAGGGGGAGAGAGGACAAACAGAAAGCACCACCAGCATTCCCAGCTGAGAAAGGCACTGATACCCTGCTCAGGAACACGACAGGTATGAAGGATGTACTTCCAGCTGGGAGTTCTCCAGTGGCCAAGTGCTGGGCTACAGGAACCGACAGGAAAAATCCTACTGTGACATCCTATTAGAAAGCTGGGCTAGTGGAAGGTGTTCCTGCCATGGCAGGGGTGGAACAAGGTGACCTTTAAGATCCATTCCAACCCAAACAATTCCATGACTCTATGAAGATGAAGCCCTCCTTCCATTAACCAAGAGCCTCCTCTTACAAGTGAAATAACCAAATTAAAGACATTTAACTGAGCCACAACTCCCCTGTGCATCCCCCATTTTCTCCCCTGCTCCCCTCAAAGAGAACAAATCTAAAATGCCCAAAGTTCACAGACTTTTTGGGTATATCAGTGTTACACGTCACTACAATGGGCTCAGCTCTGGGATCTGAATTTGCTGGTATTTAGTGACTGAGCAGATGAAGTTCAGACATGACTAATGTACCCCACGTGCAGGCTGAAAGCTTCACTCAGAAACAGAGAATGACACTTCTGGGGGATTTTAATGCTATGACAGAAACTGGATGAGTTCAGTTTGTAAGTGAATCAAACCCAGGCATTTTGGGAGCACTGAGAACCCCAAAATGCCATTCTGGAGGAAGACAGCAAATCCTTGGAGCAGCACAGCTGGAGCTTGGGCACCACCCTGCTGACACACTAAGGCTTAGCTCAGGCTTAGCTCAGGCTCAGCCTAAGGGAAGGAGCATTCCTAAAGCCTCTTTCAGTTCTTAATTTAATAACCCACACTGAGATTCCTGTACACCCCTTTATGAGCAGCCTGCCCAGTGTACTTCTCATCATAATTCATTGTTCCCAAAACCCTTGAGGAAGTGCTTTATTAATGAGCTCTGAGTGGGACTCTGGCTACCAGCCACATCTCTCCAGTGCCAGAACCAGGAGCTCCTCATCCATCTCCCTGCAGGAAAGCAGAATATTGACCCACATAGCAAGGCAGTGATAACTCGGTGAATATTAAAGGCAAAACTCTGCCTTCTTTCAAGGGATTTAAAAATATCTTTTAATTCACCATCATTCTCAGTTTCCCCTCCATACATAATCTGCTTTCAGGGAATTAACAGGGCCTCACGCCCAGGTAAGTGGAACAAGGAGATGACACAAGGTCGGCACGTACTCATCATGCACATGGAACACAACAAACACGCCAGGAACCAAAGCAAAGGCACAGCAGGCACAGGAGGAACGGGAGAGCAGGCTCAGGAACGTTCAAACATCGAGAAGAAAGTTAAAATTGAAACTTACAATTACCTGCTGGTCTGGGGGGATGAACTCCAGGGCCTTCTGGATCACCCTGCAGCCGTACATCTGCAGCGCCAGCGACAGCACGTGCCCGCGGATGCGCTCTGCCAGGGCCAGCTTCTGCTCCAGGCTGCCAAACTGGGGAGGGCAAAACCAGTCACCGCGAGCACAGCGCCAGCCCACGGCCACACGTGGCACAGCTGCCACAGCCAGGGCTGAGACAAGGAATGCTGGGTGCACTGAGAAGGAAGGAAGAGCCCAGCCCACCTCGGTGGGGGTGAACGGGCACAGGTGAGTTCTGTGTCTGCCTGAACACGTGTGAAACACTCCTGGAGCCACCAGGGTGACACGTGCCAGGACACTAACCCTGGACAGGATGGATAGGAAGGTCACAGTCCCAAACCTGCCAGAGCTCCAGGAGTGTTTGGACAATGCTCTGAGGGACAGGGTGGGATTGCTGGGGTGTCTCTGCAGGGCCAGGAGTTGGACTGGATGATCCTTGTGGGTCCCTTCCAGCTCAGGACGTTCTGTGATTCTGAATTACTGGGCACAAGCACCACGAACACTTGTGGAGAAGGAGTAGACCAGTGCCAGAGGGAGGGATGGGGGTGTCTGCCCAACCTCCTGCTATGGAACACAACATTTATCCAGCAGGTGCTGTTTGCTGGAAAAGTTTCTCATCTTCCTAAATACTGAAAGCTCAGCACAGCATCTCTGTCTTGTTCCTAAACAAGACAGCTCAGCACAGCAACTCTGAAAAGTCCTGGATCTACATCTCACAGAAGCCCAGAATGGTTTGTGTTGGAAGGGACCTCAAAGCTCATCTCATTCCAACCTCCTGCCATGAGTAACCTTCCACTGGAAGGTCTCATCTCCTGGATATGGTGCTATTTACTCCTCCACCTTTTGCATCTCACAGAAAATGTTACTTTCCAGCTGAATCTTTAGGAGTCCCACACCTCAGTGACTCCAGCAGCAAACATGCACCAGCCTGTGAGGAGGAGATGACCTCAGTGCTGACAGTTATCCATGGATTTAGCCTAATGGCAGGGTTTCCATAAGCACATCCAACACCTCAGGACAGCTGGGGAATGCAGACTTACTTCAAAGAACTTCTGGATGACGTAATTCCCAAACACATCCACCATGAGCTGATAAGCTGCCTGCAGGATCTCGTTGAACACCAGCTGACGCTCTGCTGGGGTGGCACGTTCCAGTTTCAGCTGAATGAACCTGGAAAACAGGGCTGGTGTGATGCCACTGGCACATTTGTTCATTCAAACCCTTCCAAAAGCCTCACAAGTGCGTTCCAGAAACCACCACGAAAAATCCTGTTATGATATGACAATGAACTGCTCCTTTCATTAACCAGGAGTGTCCTCTTAGAAATTAAACATCCAAATTTCAGAAATTTAACTGATCCACAACTTGCAAAGGTCTCCCAAACCACATCTTTCAAACACGGTTGCTCTATCCAGCCATCTGAAGCCTTGGGGTAGTCACAGCCATGAGGTTCATGGAGACACATTACTGTTGGTACCCCAAAAATCTCTTCATTCCAAGCAAAGCAGATCTCAATTAAGAGATACAGGAAAGTATCATGTCCAGCTGGCTCTTCAGAACGAGTTAAGCTGTGCCAGTGGGACTAACAAGCAAATCACAGAGCAGGCAGGCTCCTCTCTAGAGGAGGAACTCCTGCTATGGGCACTTGTACCCAATCTTTGAAGGGTCAGTGTGACATAACTTGGCTTTCCACATCTCCTACTCCTCATTCCACCTCTCTGCTTTGGGATTGTAAGGGTAGAAGACCCTTCTGGAAGATTTATTACAAGGAGATCAAGGCTAATTTTGCTTAGGAAGACCTTCCTGCCTGAAGAGGCACCTTTCCCAGGGACAGCTTTAGCTGTTTTCTCCTCCTGCATGCCAGAGAAACTCTCCCTGGTACGAGGAAAAGAAAAATCCTTGCAGACATGTCTGAAGGCTTCCACAGAGGGTGGGGTGGGGGTGATAAAAGCCCTGAGAAGAACAGGGGGCATTGTCTTTCCCCAGGCCCAGTGTTAAGGTTAACATTACCTGTAACAATGTTCCATAAGGCAACCACTGATTAACACTTAATAGTACACTACTTAATAATACAATACTTAATAAATTCTCCCTGATGGCTGTGAAGCCATGCCCTTGTCACTGTCCACAGGAAGTTTGTTTTGTCTCAGACTGTGTAGAAGGTTTGGATACTTCTGAGCCAGGTTCTTTTTCACTACACATAACTCTTCTCCTTTTTACAGTTACGGTGTCTTTCAGAATATTTCAGCACACCTAGTTCTAAACAGGCTGTTGTTCTGAACTGTATATTGATGCACTAACACAGCCCAAAATAAATGCTATGTCCAAAGACAGCAGTACTGGTAATGTTAAACAATTAGTGCAAGAGAAAAGATGGAAGAAGAACTTAAATACTGCAACTTAAGCCAGCACGCTTAGCAATTCTTTTAAATTTCTGTAAACTAACGTCTCCTTTCTTCTCAAAACGTTTGCGTTTTCGACTTTGGAAAATAATTTTTCCTACAACCCTTCCGCTGCCTGAGCATTATTTTTCATCACAGGGATGCCAAGCACAACTGAAAGGCTCCCAGCCCCACCTGGAGCCGTGCTGGTCCTGGGAGAACTCCATGATGTGGCCGGCGATCTCGCGCAGCTGCAGGTTGGGGTAGCGGTTGTTGCGGAAATCCTCGAGCAGGCGGCTGCGGCCGGAGGGCATCACGTCGGACATGCCGTAGCGCAGCCGGGACGAGGGGAACAGGGTGCTGCTGGGGCTGAACAGGCTGGAGGCACTGCTGGCACTGCGGTACTTGGCCTCGGCGCCCGGGGCCGCGGAGATGTAGCGCCCGCTGCCGTTCGTCAGCCCCCCTGCACGGACACAACCGGGGCCATCGTCAGTCCCAACCACCTCGCGCCCAGTGACTCCCTTCCCACCACGTGGGTCTCTGATATACAGCCAGGCAGGGATCCCAGGTGGAATTCCTTCACAGGAAGGGTGGTTAGACACTGGAATTGCTGCCTCACCCTAATTCCCACTGTTGATGTACCACCCACTGCCGTTTGTCAGCCCCCCTGCAAGGCACGGACACAACGAGGGGGACTGTCATTCCCAACCATCTGAATCCTAGTTACTCATGTTCCACCATGATGGGTTACTGACAATCAGCCAGGCAGGGATCCCGGGTGGAATTCCTTCACAGGAAGGGTAGTTAAGACATCAGAAAGTGCTGCCTCACTCTAATTCCCACTGTTTATAGAAAACCCCCTTGGTCTGTTTATTTTTGACAGCCTCACTGATGACCTAATTTGCATTTGAGCCAAAAGACTTTGCTTGACAGGAAAAAGAAAGTAACATCAGTAATGATAATTTGTATATTATTTTAACACACAATTCTCTATTAGAGTATAGCAGAGCTCCAGGCCCTTCTGCTGCAGTTAACTGGGTGTACCCCTTGCCAGACATCTTCATTTAATGACGTGGCACTCAGTGCTCTGGGCTGGGGGACAAGGTGGGGACTGGGCACAGGGGGGACTCCATGGGCTGGGAGGGCTTTTCCAACCTCAAGGACTCCGGGATTCTGTCAAGTTTCCCATCTAAACCCATTTCCAAGTGACCAGCAGAGGATTTGGTTGGTGGGGTGGGCTCGCGGGGGCAGCGGCACGGTGTCACCCCACAGCCCTCCCGAAGGGCCACTGGCACAGGCAGGGCTGGCAGCCCCCAGGGCTGGGGCCAGCGGGTCTGGGCAGCTCTGGCTCAGCCCCACAGAGCGCTAGAACTGCTCTCCTCAGCCACAGCTGCTCAGAGAGGGCAAGAGTGTCGTCATTGCCAGAGCCCGGGGACCCGCCAGGGCCCTGCCACCAGTGCTGGAGTGTCCAGGGAATGACTGGACGTGGCACTCTGAGCTCTGGGCTGGTAACTCAGATTAGAGAATGGTGATAATAACACCAAGGTCACAGGTTCAACCCCTGTACAGGCCATTCATGGGCTCAATGATCTTTGTGGGTCCCTTCCAACTCGGAACGTTCTGATCTCTTTCCGGTTGATCAGGTGGGGATCAGTCAAAGGTTGAACTCGATGATCTTGTAGATCTTTTCCAACGTAAATGAACCTATTTTAGGATTCCCAACAAAGCTGAGAGAGCTGCCCCCAAAATAATTTACATGGGAACGTGTCTGAGATCATTCCTCAGTATGGCACTGCTGCATTAATTTAGGAACAGCAACAAACTGCAGCCAAGGACTTTGATGATCCTGGTGTGGCCCTTCCAACTCAGGACCCTCTATGATTCTGTGACTCTATTCAATGACACGGAATCTACAACTGTGATTCCATGGCAGACTGAAATAAGTCCTGTTCCTTGCTCTGTTTCCAAACTGTCTGAGTCAGTCCAGTGTCAATCCCATCACTCCAACTTTTGGCTAATTTGCTCTTTCCAATTACCTTCACCTCCCTCCTCAGGTTTTTCCCACCTATCCTGTTACTGTGCCAAGAAGTGATTTAAAAGAAAAGCAGGGGACAGAATTAAGATAGATAAGGACAAGGCAAGTATAAAAATTGTGGATAAAAAGCTCCAACTCACTATTAAATACGGGTGAATAACAATAAATTAAAACCAGTAAATAAATAGGGTTTAAAATCCTGTGCTTTCACAAATGGCCTAAATATCTGCACCCAGGTTAAGAGAGATGCTGTGTTACCCCAAAACAGGACTGTGGGGAACAGGTTCATCACACAGGGAGCAGAGTGAACTGTCAACAGGAACCAACCTAAGCCTTCCCTGTCTGTGGTTTTTCAGGATTGGTTTCAGTGCTGTGGCAGAGCACTTCTCCCTCTCCTGCAGGGCTCGGGATCCCTCTGCTGGTCACAGAGCACAGGAGGAGCCAGCACGGATTTTCCTGGGTGGAACAAAGTCCTCCCAAGAAAAAGGTCCTGATCACATGGGAACCTGCCACCTGCAAGGCCAGGGTGAGGCAGGGGGGCAAATCCATGGAAATAAAGTTCTCAGGAGTCTGTGCCAAGGAGGGAAGATCTTCAAAGAAAGCTGGGCAGGGCTGGCTGCACAGAACAGACCTGCTCCTGGCAATGACAGGGGCTAGAATTAAAATATTAAATAAAATAGAGCTGAGGGAGCTGCACTCCTTGGCCATCGACACCTGAAGGAAGATCCCATGCAGGAAACAGTACATGAGAATTATGGATCTGATAACAGCCTAATTAATTATTGATTATGACCTCTGTGGGTTCCTTCCAGCTGAGGATATTCTGTGATCTCTGAGGTGGTCAAATGTCCTCTGGAGCTGATGCCAAACCTGCCCTTTCCTGAGGGAGAGACTTGAGAGCTTCATGCTCAGCCTTGTGCTGCCTTGGCCATCACCTCCTTCATCTGTGACTCCTCAAACTGAGCAACAGCTCTGAAAAGCCACCTGGTGATATTCCCTGCTGCTGGAAGGCCCAGGATTTTCAAAGAACAGTAAAGCACCTCTGAGGCAAAGGAGATCCAGCAGAGACAAGCTGAGCAATGGGGCACTGACACTTCCCATGGCATTTGAAGATCTCAGAGTTATGACTTGTTTGAAAGCCTGGAGTCAGAGTCAGGAGTGAAGTGGAAAACTAGTTCCTGATCTCTGCAAATGGCTGTGGGAGGGGAGGGTTCAGCACTTAGGCTCTTATCTCCTGGGCCTTGTGTCTCAGTTAAGAGGGAAAGCACAGCCTGTACAGAAAACCTGTCAGAGGTTTTCTGAGAAAACCACCATCATTGGAAGATTCAAAATAAACCACAAATGACTCCAGTTTTCCACCTATCTCTCTCTCTCCTGATGGAAATGGTGACTGCAGGTCTGCCCACAATGTTCAACATCATCCTGGGAATTAAGAGTCCCTGTGAGGGACAGGTTTCCTAAATCACACAATTCCTAAATTCTGAACCCCACCAGTCACCCACCAAAGGCCAGAGATCTTGGGGTGCCTCAAGCTCCTCTGTGCCAGGGTGTGGTTGGGAATGTCACTTGTTCAGATCCCAGATTTCAGTGGGATCTTATCAATAGTTACAATGAAACAGCTCCTTCATCCCACGAGCCAGGCTGGGAGAGCTGGGGGGGTTCCCCTGGAGAAGAGAAGGTTCCAGGGAGACCTGAGAGCCCCTGGCAGGGCCTAAAGGGGCTCCAGGAGAGCTGGAGAGGGACTGGGGACAAGGGATGGAGGGACAGGACACAGGGAATGGCTTTCCACTGCCAGAGGGCAGGGATAGATGGGATATTGGGAAGGAATTGTTGGCTGGGAGGGTGAGGAGGCCCTGGCCCAGGTTGCCCAGAGAAGCTGTGGCTGCCCCTGGATCCCTGGAAGTGTCCAAGGCCAGGTTGGACGGGGCTTGGAGCAACCTGGGCTAGTGGAAGGTGTCCCTGCCCATGGCAGGGGGTTGGAATGAGATGAGAGCTTTAAGGTCCCTCTCACCCCCAACTCTTCTGGGATTCTATGATTTGAGAGCAGGACTCACAGGCTCGTGGCTCCTCAAGCTCTTTGGGACACAAGGGTAGAAAAAAGTACCTGGGATATGTCAGGAAAAATCTGTATTTGGGGAAGAACAAGGGGCACAGGTTCTGCTGGAGACTCCAGGGTGGACACACAGCTGATATTCACTCATGGCTTTTGAGCAGTTCCTATTCTGAACTGGTAACTCTTCTCAGGGCTTGCTGGGACACTGGGGACAGACATTAACCTGGAAAAATTACTGATTCCAGGGGGGAAAAAGGATGAGAGGATGAGGCAGAAAGAAAGAAAGAAAGAAAGAAATCACAGGGGAAGCAACACTAAAGCTGCTGTATGAAGACAAAGCACTTTTTGAGCAAGACTTTTATAAGGCCCTCAAATTCCTCTGCAACACAGGAGCTGCTGTAATGAGGAATGTGAGAACAAGGGGGAACAGGGAAGATGAGAAGATGGCTCTGTGGGAACACAGGGGGAGCAGCCAGCCCTGCTGCTGTCCCTGCAGAGGGACCCCCAGGGCACTGCCCCAACCTGTCCCCCCGGCAGCCCCACAGCCCTTCCAGGGGGTCACAGCCAACTGGTTATCAACTCCTCAGCCAGTTTTCCCAAAATATCCCTAATTTCCCCCGTCTGTATCCTTTTTCTCACACTGATCCTGCCTTTTAAGTGACAGGCTGACTACAGGATGGGGCAACTCTCACTCGAGCAGTTCCTGCAAGAATATCATAGCATTAAAATCCTTACTTATCCACTGATCCCCATTCCAAACTGGGAAACCCAGAGCCACACACATCCAGCCCCAGTTTATTGGGACCACACCAGCCACACACACAAGGGCTGACAAAATCTGCTTGTGGCACTGCAGAGAATCATGGAATGGTTTGGGCTGGAAGGGATCTCAAAGATCATGCAGTGATCCACCCCCTGCCATGGGCAGGGACACCTCCCACCAGCCCAGGTTGCTCCAACCTGGCCTTGGACACTTCCAGGGATTCCAGGGGCAGCCACAGCTTCTCTGGGCAACCTGGGCCAGGGCCTCCCCACCCTCCCAGGGAAGGATTCTTTCCCAATATCCCATCTAACTCTGCTCTCTGGCAGTGGGAAGCCATTCCCCCTTGTCCTGGCACTCCATGATGCAATGTAACCTGTCCAGCAATAAATGTAATAATTAAAACCCCACACATTTAGTAATTTATCTCTGTGATCAATGCTGGGGAAGCAAAGCCCCTGCTGCCTTTAGCACCCAAAGGTTGAGTATTTACTGCCATGCACAGCTGAGCACTGAATCCACCCTGGAATATCAGGCACAGATTTAGCTCAGCTCTCCTCCTCCAGCAGCTCTTCCTGCAAGAACTGCCTGTGTGGTTATTTCAGATACTTGTGATTGCCCAGACATTTCACAAGGTCACTTTACAGCACCAGAAAAAACCCCTCAGCTTGATAAATCCACACCATTTTTCACAACTCTGAGCTTTCAGGGAGTCACAGGAGCCGGAGTTGGATCTTTCCACACATCACCAACCCAAGGAGTGATTGACTCACACACCATGAGACACGACAAAGTCAAACCCACAACTCACACTGCATTTAACCAGGGATTTGCTGATTCCAGCCCAGGTTTAATGCCAACTTTGTGTCACCGTGTAACCCTAAAATCAGAGTTTTTGAAGTGCCTCCCCCAGGTTGTCTCCCCCCACACAGCCCAGACAGGACGTGGTTCTGAACCCCACTGCTCATATTTTCCTTTGTGCAAACAACACATTTGGGTGTTCCCATCTGTCCCTTCAGTTTTAGATATTTAGAAATCACCCTCATCCTTCTGATCACAAACTACTGCTGGTATCACTCCCAAATGGAAAAGGAGTCTCTCATAAGGAAGAACAATGTCTGTGCTGTCATAGAATCATGGAGTGGTTTGGGTTGGAAGGGACCTTAAAGATCATCTCATCCCACCCCTGCCATGGGCAGGGACACCTTCCACTAGCCCAGGTTGCTCCAACCTGGCCTTGGACACTTCCAGGGATCCAGGGGCAGCCACAGCTTCTCTGGGCAACTTGGGCCAGGGCCTCCCCACCCTCACAGAAAGGAATTCCTTCCCAATATCTCACCTATCCCTGCCCTCTGGCAGTGGGAAGCCATTCCCTGTGTCCTGTCCCTCCATCCCTTGTCCCCAGTCCCTCTCCAGTTTTCCTGGAGCCCCTTCAGGCCCTGCAAGGGGCTCTCAGGTCTTCTCAGAGCCTTTTCTTCCCCTATGGAAGTATCAAACCTCATTTTATAACCGAAGGAAACTCCAACCCCACTTCCCACTGTGCTCCACTGCAGGCGAAAGAGAAACTTAAGGAAAGTAAAACGATTTTTCCCGGATTTTAAGGTGAAACCCCCCCAAATTCAGAGCTATTCCAGGTGAGATTTCACTTGCAGCGTCTCCAAGCACAGAGTCAGCCATGGAGGGATCCTGGCTCCAAGGGGAGGAGTATTTTGGGGAGGTGGGAAACCCCACACTGACCCTCTGGGGCACAACCCATCTATGTGAGTGTTAACTCCAAATTCTGCCCAGAGTTTGCACCCAATCAGATCAACCTTTCTCTGATCCAGTTTTTAAGATTCACTCTTTTGTTTGCTGCAGGGGCAACGTATTTTTTTCCAAGTGCCAGATGTGGAATCTGGTCCCTCCTCAGCACTAATTTATTGTGGCTATTTACCTGTCAGCCCAAGGACTGAACAGCTGCATAAATAAAGCTAAAACCCCTCCAGTTCTATGAAAGGTCTGAAGGAGCACGATGGTAAATCTAAATCTGATCTCAAAGAAATCACATTTATTCCTACTCCAGCTAAACTATAGCCAGCATCAAATTTATCACACGTGCATGGAATAAACATGATAAATACAGTGTGTGCTGAGTGTGTATGTGCCTGGAGAACTGGTTTGATAACCAAAAGTTTTGTTAAATCCAGCAGACACATGACAGAACCAAAAAAAAAGAGTGGGTTTTTTTGAGCAAATGCTAAATTACCTGGTGCAGGTGCAACAAATAACCTATTTTGTTTATTTATGAGGAAATAACGCTTCAGGAGGTTCAGATGAGCACTGCTTTATTATTTAATATCTGCTTTATTTATCTGAAAGATTTATTTAATGTAAGAGCTCTGGGCCAGAAGCTCTTCCAGAAGGTGCAGCTGGTGTCAAGTCATGTATCTGACCAAAATTAAGAGGATTTCTCCCTGGCACTAAAATGGGCTTTTTGAAAAGGCCACATTGATGGGGAATTTTTCAAAGGAAACTCCCCAAATCCTCAGCTAAAAGCTGAGCACTGCTCCAGATAATATTAGTTAAAAGGAGAGACTGTATTTCAAGCTCATTATTGCTGTAAATCTAACGGGTATTTTAAAACATCACATTTAGAACTATTTAAGTTGAAGGCTCAGCCCTCCCTATTCTACTCAATAAGCAATTGGTGCTGTTACCAAGATCCATGCAGGAAAACCCTGTTTTTCAAACCCTTGGAAGCGTTATCCACAGTTTGGAGCTGAGGGAACAAGGAGGCAAAGCAGAAATCTCCTGTTCCCTGAGGAATTACTGCAAGGGACAAACACACCACGAGGGCTGGACTTGGTATTAAAGGTCTTTTTCCACCTAAGTGATTCCTGTGATCCTACACAACTCCTGCTTCGGTGTTTCACTTCCTCCTTGTGCAAAAAAACAGGGAATGAGGGCAAGGAATCCCCCCCAGCAGTGGCCAGGACAGCAGAGCAGGGACTGGGCCAACATCTCTTACCCAGGTTTAGACTGGAAGATGATCCATGTGAAGATAAGGAAGGTGGAGGAGTCTGGGAGTGGCCGGGTCCTTGGCTGGGCAGAGGCATTCCCACAGGGCCAGGAGAGGAGGAGAAGCCAAGGCCATTGTAAAAACTGTGTCCTATGGGTGTCAAACTGCTCGATGTCCTCTTGTACAGGTCACTGCTCCCCGTCAGCGAGTCCCGGCGGGAGCCGCTGCCCGTGTTGGAGTTTGCAACTGCAAAGGGGGAAAAGAGGAGAACTGGGTGATGCCAACGAGCTGCCTGAGACACCTGCAACAGCTCCACCTGTTTTCCTAAAGGTGTTGCAAGCATTTAATGAAATGCATTCATTAAACCCACGTTACTAATGCTCAAGCAGAAACTCTTGGCTTAAAAAAAAAATCAGCGGAGATCCTGCCTTTGCATTTCCAGCTCTGTAAGTTTTTGTACTGAGAGAACACGTGAAAAAACACAGCTCCAAAAAAATCCACGGGATCAAAAGATTAAAAATCTACCTAATGTAAGTGACCACGGTTTTGGACACAAACACTGAGCACTTCTGGACCTTCAGGAGAAGTTTTGGATTCCTCCAGGTTTTTTTCCCTAAGAACATCACTCAGTTTAACACCAGATATTAGATCACCCTACAAGCACTGCCTCGTGTTTGTTCTCAGCCATTAGAGCTAAAACAAAGCCAACATGAGATTTTATCAGTGTTTATTTAAGAGCACGTCCAGCTTTGTGTACATTTACCTGCAATCCTTGTGCTCATCCTTCATTAGATTAGAAAACAGCTCCTGTTTGCCCCAAGCTTTATGGAGATGGAAATCAGAATTCAATTTAACACACAAACCCAATGGTTTTTAAGAGCTGCCTTGATAGGCAAATACAAACTCTTTAAATGCACTGTCAACTCGAGGGGAAAAAAATCAATTTTGCATTAAAATCTTGTTTAATAAATAGTGAAATTGTTAACTGCAACGAACTAATCATTTTTCATGACTGCACACGAGCTCTAGAAGCAGCAGGATCACAGTTTTATTCATTGATTGAGGGAAAATAAGTTTGTGAATCTTGGCACTGAGCAAACCAGTAATGGATTTCAATTAATTAAATAAACTGAGGTGAAAGAGGCAAATGCTGTGTTTACCTCAAACCAAGATGGTTCAAATTCTCAGGCTGGGCTTAAGAAAAATATTTAGAGTAAGGTTTTATTTAAAACTGTTATTCTATGTAGTGACTGCATGTCCCTCAGCCTGCTCTGATGGAGCAGCTCCAAAGGCATGTTTGAACTAGTCCTTCACACTGCTGAAAGCAGGGAAGTTCAAGACATAATTACTGCCCTGAGAACGAGCAGTCATTAAAACAATTGTTCCACTTCAAAAAAAAACCAAACCTAAGGAAAAAAACCCCAACAATACAAAACACAACCCCCCCCAACCCACAGACATCTCCCTGGTTTGGTCTGGTTTGGTTCTGAAAGAAATCTCAGTCTCCAACTGCCTAAAACCAACTCAGACCACGGATAGGACGTTTCTTGCAACCACAACATGTGATTCTTTTGGTGTATGATGGACACAATTCCCAGAACAAGGCATGGAAACCACCTCAGATCAGCTTTTTAAAATCCTGAGAAGCTTCTTAGCCTTTATTCTGAGGTAAGAGACAGCACAGGGGTGGATACACTCCTCTGGAGCCAATTCCTGCCAGTCCAGTATCCCCACCAAGCACAGGCAGGGAAAAAATACTTAACAAGGGGCCAACTGGTAATGTGCATAACAAACACAGTTAATTACTGTGCTTCTAATTATCATCCACTAAAAGAACTTTCACCAGAAAGTGCTGCAGATTTTCAAAGCCCTAAGTCGTCCCCGGAGGAAGATTTCCACTTAGCCTTGGATGGATGAGGGGAGCTCAGCTCAGGAGCTCGGAGCAGCAGCTCCAGTGGATTCCCAGCCTGCTCAGGGCTCCCTGCTGCTCTCCCTTCCCCCTGGAAGCAGCTGCTGTCCTTACCTGCTGTCCCAAATCCTCCCAGTGCAGAGCCCAGCGTGGCCCCCAGGGAGCTGCTGCTGCCGAAGCCCAGGGAGGTGTTGGCGGGCTGGGCAGAGCCCTGAGAGAAGAGGGAGCTGCTCTGGGAATTGCTGCTCAGGGAGTTGTTGCCGTAGAAGGAGCTGGAGGCCAGGTTGTTGGTGGGCTGCTGCTGGGGCTGGGGCTGGGGCTGCTGCGTCCCCAGAGGCCGGAATGGCCCGTTGGTTGTCCCTGCCAGCCCTCCCGCCGCTCCGTTGGCCGAGGCCGCGGCCGCCGCCACCGCTGCGGGAAAAGCAATTGGAAAAATCCCTTTAAAAAGCCGAAAAGAATCCATTTTCATCACTGTTTCGGTTAAAACTCATCGGGTTCCTTGTAATTATTACAGGTTTTTTTTCCTTCCAGGATGAAAATCTCCCTTTCACATCAAACTCGGCGTAAATTCTCTTTATTTCCCATCCCAGCTCCCCGAGTGTCGCCCAGAGCCCCCAAACACCAGCAGTGCCCAGCTGTTCTTGCTGATGCTTGTGTTGTTAGAGCTCCACAGATCAAACACAAATGGTCCCTTTCTCCCAAGATCCCAGATTCCAATCGATACGGTCCCACACTTGCAAAAGTCAATTAAGAAAAGCGAGCTTTAAAATAAGTGAAAATGTTCTTCAGCACATGAAATCTGCAGTGCCAAGAACATCGAACCCGAGGGCTCTTGTTTTTCAGCCAGTTCCAAAGTAAAAGAAAAAGGAAAATAAACAAGGGCTACACGAAAACAATTAAAAGGCCCGTTTCATAATCTCTTGCTAACACTGGCTTACCCATGGATTCTGGCTGGAAAAGTCCTTTTAAAGCCTTGAACTCCCAAGGAACCCTAATAAATCCCAAAACAGCTCATGGCAAAGGCCAGGCATGGACCATTTCAGGCAAGGTGATCATATCATAGAATGTGTATCATGGACTCGTTTGGGTGGGAAGGAAAATTAAAGCCCATCTCATTCCACCCCCTGCCATGGGCAGGGACACCCCCCACTAGCCCAGGTTGCTCCAAGCCCTGTCCAACCTGGCCTTGGACACTTCCAGGGATCCAGGGGCAGCCACAGCTTCTCTGGGCAACCTGGGCCAGGGCCTCCCCACCCTCCCAGGGAAGGACTCTCCCAATATCCCAATTCCCAGTGGGAAGCCATTCCCTGTGTCCTGTCCCTCCATCCCTTGTCCCCAGTCCCTCTCCAGCTCTCCTGGAGCCCCTTCAGGCCCTGCAAGGGGCTCTCAGCTCTCCCTGGAGTCATCTGAGAATCCTACACAGGCCAAAAGCTTTAGCAGGTGGGAAAGCAGGTCCAGCAGAGAAATTTAAACAACTATCATGAAACTCTATGAAATACTTTGAGTTCCTGTCCCCTCCCTCTCCGAGGCTGCTCTGAAGGCTCAGCCCAAGTGAGCACACGGGATGTTCTCCACAACAATCCCCACACGGATCTCAGTGAGGGCAAGTTTGTCATCACGGTCAGCAGAGCTCAGAGGGGCTGGGGCTGGGCCAGGGCCACTGTCCCTGGGAGGGAGCAGCACTCACCTGCCTGGGCTGCAGAGGAGCTGATGATGACGGGGGCAGGGGCCACGAGGCGCACGGGGGCCCCCAGGCCGTTCCTGGCCCCCGCGTTCACCACCAGGGCCCCGGTTTGGTCGTAATAGGCAGCAGGAGCCAGCACTGGGTACCCTGGGGGGGCAAAGCACAGGTGAGGGGACAAGCAGGGCAGCACCCAGCAGGTCCAGCATCTCCACGGGACTCTGGTGCAACATTACATCATTTACAGCGTTACAGTTTAACCCCATTTTTAAAGGAAATCTGAGCGGAAAAGGAAAAAGCAACAACAGCTCTGCTACTCCTGAAAAGGAAAAATTTCAATCCATGTTGAAGTCCATGACTTTATAATAAGTAAGACTTTGAGGCAGAGAAGAATTTTTTCCTCCTCAAAGCTACTGGCATTGCCCTCAGAGTAAATTCAGTTACACAGATCAAAAAAAGGGGTTAAAATACAAAACCCACCATTTCTTTTAAACGTGCACCTTGTGCTGGGACCTCTCAGATCTGTGAACACTCTGCATGTCCAACTCCCCTGCTCTGGGCTGAGGCTGTCAGGGGGCACACACTTGGAACTTGAAGGTATATATCATAAATATATATATATATTTAATGATATATAAAATATATATTATATATTATATATTATATATGTATAAATATATATAATATATATATGTCATAAATCATTCTTTAATATATAAAAACAAACACTTTAAAATATGCTGGTGATACACACAGCAGCACACTGTCAGTAGTATATAGTGATTTAGGTACCTTACTATAGAGTTCTAATTAAATGGAGACATTCAAATTAAATAGAGAGCTTCTCCAAGGTGAGGGGAGGTCACAAAGAGAAAGTTCTCTAAGTATTTGCCTTGCAAATATATATATACCCACATATATAAACATATATAAATGTATATTTGCTTTTCCAATATAACCCAAATAACAGATTTAAGGAAATTTGCAGCTTGCTGGAAACATGCACATTACAGTTCACTTTGTAACTTAATACAGCAACATTCTTCTTAAACTATTAAAACCCACATTTACAACCATGTGACACTTCCAGCAAGGAGACCTGAAGTCCAAATAATCCTTTTTCCTTACATTTGACCAGCACATTATTCTAAAAGATGCTTAGGTTTGTCCTCTGCCATTACAGTAAATATTCTGAATAACTGAATGTCAAAAGCAGCCTCATGGATCAGAGTTACAATTCATACAGCAGCTCCTCTCAGGAAGAATTATAAATCAGAATTAAACCTGCTCCTTTTATCCCTTTTCTTTTCCTGTTTTTAAGCAATTAGAAAGAAGCAATCCTGAAGGGGAAGTCCCTGATCTGTGGAAGTCAAGCCCTGGGCAGGGATGGAGGAACAAGATGACTGAACAGGACTAAGATCCCTCTCGGAGGTTTCAAATGCAGATCCCATAAGCTCGAATGAGCCACGGGAAAATCTGAAGGCAACTTTCCAATTCTTTGGAATACCCCAGTAACTAATGCACCTGTACAGTGGATAACAATTGTTTTCACCTGTGACAAGGGCACCTACCCCCTGGTTCTGAGGTTCTGTGCTGCAGAGCTGGTTGGGGTCACACCGAAACCCCTCCTGCACCCACAGATTAACCCCCAAACTGATGGAAACAAACACTGCTGAATCCCAGGCAAACATGACATCTGGAGACGTGAGATCCAACTCCATGGCTCTCCCTGGGCCCTGCAGAAGCTGCTCCTGCCCCGGCCATACCTGGCATTCCCGCTGCCAGCCCCTGGCCGAAGGCGAGGGCGGAGTTGACGGCGGCCGCGGCCACCAGTGGGTCCGTCTGCTGGCCCTGCTGGTTCTGGTTGGGGGTCAAGGGACGCTGGCTGGCTCCTCCACGGAGAACCTGTGGAGACAGAGGGACATCCAGGTGTTTATCTTGGGGCCCAGGAGCAAGTCACCATCAGCAGGTACTTGCAGGAGCAATCTAGTTGAAGTTGTTGCACCAGTAACGGGTGACAGCCTTGACTTCCCTTCACTCTTAATCAACTTTTCTTGATATTTTTTGATATACAAGAAGGACATGGAGGGGCTGGAGCGTGTCCAGGGAAGGGAATGCAGCTGGGGAAGGGGTTGGAGCAGCAGGAGCAACTGAGGGAGCTGGGGGGGCTCAGCCTGGAGAAAAGGAGGCTCAGGGGGGACCTTCTGGCTCTGCAACCCCCTGACAGGAGGGGGGAGCCAGGGGGTTGTCGGGCTCTGCTCCCAGGGAACAAGGGACAGGAGGAGAGGGAACGGCCTCAGGCTGTGCCAGGGGAGGGTCAGGTTGGATATTAGGGAAAATTCTTTGCTGAAAGGGTGGTCAGGCATTGGCAGGGCCTGCCCAGGGAGGTGATGGAGTCCCCATTCCTGGAGGTGTTCAAAAACACGTGGATGTGCTGCCTGGGGACGTGGTTTAGTGTGGACCTGCCAGTGCTGAGTTAATGGTTTAACTCAATGATCTTCAGAGGGCTTTTCTAACCTTCCTAACTTTATGATCCAACCTTCAATCCCCATCCTTGGATAGAAGTGTTTACAAGCCATCTGCCCATCCCAGGTAACATTTGCTCTCTGGTAAAGGCCCTTTTGAGCAGAAACCTTAAAAAGCCCAATTTAGGAGCTGGAGGCCGACAACATGAGGTGACCTGGCTTTTTCCAAGGTACCAGCTCCTCTAGAAAACAGTGACCTGGTGACACAACTGGGAAATAATGACCAAAGAGCCCACACTGTGCTGTGTCTGGAGGAGCTCTCGTGGTGCTCTCAAAGGGATGATGGCAAAGTGGCCTTTGCTGTAATTACTTGTGACAGCCCCTGTTTGCCAAAGCCTTGCACTCCAGGGGGGGCAGGTCTGCACCCACCAGCAAGGTCAGCATGTTAAAGGAGCCATCCCTGGGTCCTCTGGCTGCAAGAAGTGACATCGTGTGTGTCACCTGACAGAGCCATTAACAGGGAAAAATGACTTTGTGCACAGAGGGCCTGGGAGAGGGTGCTGAGGTGATTTAGGTGTGCCTGACTCTGCTGTCACTGTCACAGCCTGGAATTCCTGGAGGAGACTGAGGGGAGACCTCAGTGCAGTTCCAATTACTGGGCAGGGGCAGAGGAGGGGCAGGGACTGAGCTCTGCTCTGGGGGAGCAGGGACAGCACCCAGGGAACGGCTGGAGCTGTGTCAGGGCAGGCTCAGGTTGGATCTCAGGCAAAGGTTCTTCCCCCAGAGGCTGTTTGGGCACTGCCCAGGCTCCCCAGGGCAGTGGGCACAGCCCCAAGGCTGCCAGAGCTGCAGGAGGGTTTGGCTGATCCTCTGGGGCACAGGGGGGGACTCTTGGGGCTGGGCCTGTGCAGGGCTCAGGGTTGGACTCCATGATCCTTGTAAGTCCCTCCCAACTCAGCACATTTTGGGATTCTGAGTCTCTCAGAATTCCAATGGGTGCAGCTGCAGCACTGGAGTGCTCATGGCTTTTATTAATACACTATTAAGGTGTCATAAGGGTGACAAATCAACTGTCCATAATCATTGCTCCAGGTTTCCAAAACCTCTGCCTCAGCACTTTTAATCCAAACAATTCCTGCTGCATCCTCTTATGGATGCAGGTTTGCATTATAAACACCACTCCTGATCCCACTCACGCCAGCTCCATGCCTATAAAAGTAATGAAAAATACTATAAAGGCTACTGGCACTGATATATTTTATTTTAATAGCCTGGTCCTTTGCAGAAGCTCTCTTAACACACACCCTCTTCATCTGAAAAGGTCTTTTAGCACCACCCAACACTGGAGTTTGCTTTAGTTTTCAAAGCAGAAGCTCAAAAATTCAGCTGCCAGTTGCTCTTTACTCTGCCATTTCAGGCACCCAAGGACCAGAAAGGAGGGCTCTGTGTCACTGTGAGAAAGGAGCCATCTCCCTTTTGGGTAGCAGAACAAACCCACTCTGTTCCCAAGCAGGAAGAACTGTGGGACAGATGCTGAGAAATGTGTGTGAAGCCCTCAGGTGAGGAGCAGCTCTGAACAAACCCCAAACAAGCTCCTGGGCTGTGCCCAGAGTTGTCCAGGTAACTGAAACCCAATCTGGTTCCTGATCCTGTTCCACGAGCCTTGCTGAGGTCTGAGAGCAGAAAAGGAGACCACATCCAAGTGTGTGTCCAAAGGAATGAGGATCAAAGGAAGGATGGTGGGACACCTCTCACCCATCCAGCATTTAACTGAATTCCTGGGGTTTAGCACCAGCAGTTTAGTCTGAAAGTTTGGATTGTTTCAAAATGTTGATTAAAATAGCAAAGTACTGCCCAGAGAAGCTGTGGCTGCCCCACCCCTGGAAGTGTCCAAGGCCAGGCTGGACAGGGGTTGGAGAACCTGGGCTGGTGGAAGGTGTCCCTGTCATGGTGGAACCAGACGGTGTTTAAGGTCCCTTCCAACCCAAACCATTCCCCCATTCCAACAATCTGCACTCCTACCCAACTTTGTCAAATGTTTAGGATGGCTTCTCCTTTTCTATAAGGAAGAAAATTCTTGTACCCTATTTATTCTCGTACCATCTCTCAGTTTCCACCTTCTGTTCCAGCAGCTTAGATTCCCATTTGTGTCATCTGCATGTGCAGAGGCACAGCTGTGATTAAACACCAGACCTTTAGAATGCTTATTTTACTTGAGGTCAGGGAAATTAACCCAGTTAAATTTCAAATACAGGGGAGAGCCCAAAAAACCCAACCAACCCTGAACAAGAAATGGCACAGTGATTCATCACAAAGATGCAGAACAATTATCAGCAGGAGAAAAAAATACAGGCTGGATAATCCAGTGTGTTGTCAATGCCAAGGGATTAAGGCACAGGAGCAAAGCCCATCCTTTAGGAAGTATGTAAGGACATAATTCCCTCCTCACTGTGTTTTAAAAAAGCAAATACCATTTAACCAGCAGATACCTGTCTCAACATTCATCTTTAACACATTTACAGAGGTAACAGCAGATCATATGGAAAAAACTTCATTAAATTTATTTATTTCCTCCTTTTAGCTGTCAAATTCCTGTAATTTTTGTGCAGACTAAATCAAAACAGCTGCAGTTTGCCTCATGAAAATAGAAAATTTCATGTTTTCTTTTCACACTCATCTTTAGCCTCCAAGTCCCCACATGGACACCAAACCTATTCACTCTGCTACTATTTTGACCTCTTTAAAGCCAGTCTTCACTAAGAAAAGCGTTTCATAATGGGCAGCACCCTGAAGATAAGGACACACTCACTGACATTTAATATTTGAGTGCAGTCACCACCCCTAGAAGTGTTCAAAAAACAAGTAGTTGTGGCACTTTGAAGTATGGTTTAGTGGGAATGGGGATTGGATGATCTTGGAAGTCTTTTCCAACCTTAAAGACAATTATCATCAGCTTCAAATTGCAGTGATGGGCACAGTGATGGGTTGGGAGATGATGACTGCTGCCTGCACACCAACTTTGCTGTGTTTGCACAGCTCAGGGTGTTCCCAGCCTGAGTCATTTATGCTTCCCAAAGCACTAACACTCAATAACTCACCCCCACCAAGGTACTTGTGCCCTCTCCACATGCAAGATGAATAAATCAAGTAACAAAATGTATAGATGGTTCTTGCCCTTTTTTCAGGAGGCCAAAGGCTCTTCTTGTCACCTTAAAACTACTTGGATTTGAGGGTCAGGAGCAGGCACTGACAAAATCAGGGTTCTTAAGGGCTGGAGCTGTGTCAGGGGTGTTTAGGCTGGATATTATGGAAAGGTTCTTCCCCCAGAGGGTGGCTGGGCACTGACCACACTCCCCAGGGCAGTGGGCACAGCCCCAAGGCTGCCAGAGCTCAGGGACAGGGTTTATTAGAGAATCTGTGCTTGTTCTCTTCCTCCCCTTTCCCCAGGTGTGCTCTCCCCTCAGCAGCCTGTTGGTGGTTTGCTGAGTTGGTGTGACCTCCCTGTGCTTCTGCAGCAGGTTCTGATCCTCAGAGAAGCACTTCTGGAAATGGGTGAAGCATCTTCCTTTGGGAAGCATTTTTATAAACAGGTGAAACCTCACAGGAGACACTGAGCTCTGCTCTGGGGGAGCAGGGACAGCACCCAGGGAACGGCTGGAGCTGTGTCAGGGCAGGCTCAGGTTGGATCTCAGCCAAAGGTTCTTCCCCCAGAGGCTGGTTGGGCACTGCCCAGGCTCCCCAGGGCAGTGGGCACAGCCCCAAGGCTGCCAGAGCTGCAGGAGGGTTTGGCTGATCCTCTGGGGCACAGGGGGGGACTCTTGGGGCTGGGCCTGTGCAGGGCTGAGGGTTGGACTCCAAGATCTTTGTGGGTCTTTCCAACAGGACATTCTGTGCCTCAAAGCCGCTCCAAAGCGTTCTGTGGGATGCAGGAGCCCCCCAGCCTTACCTGCTGCTGGCCCTGCTGGGTTTGCTGTGTCGTTTGCTGGTTTGCTGAGTTGGTGGCGGCGGCGGCGGCGGCCGCTTGCTGCTGGAACAGGCTGGCGGGATAAACTCCCCAGGGAGTGACTCCATAGTACTGGTGAGGGACAACAGCCGGGCCTGCAACACCGAGGGAACGTGTCAGCTGCTGGATCGTGACAAGGGTTACGCAGCCAACAGTCAGAAACACCTCTGCTCATCACATTTGGTTCAGCAAATCCCATTTCAGCGGGAGCCGCCTGAAATCCTTTGCAAATACAGAGGGATTCTGGCATTTATTACCCATTTTTAAAAAGCTTCCAAGTCAAACCTGAAATTCCATCTTCACTTACTTTTACCTTATTGGAGGAGGTCAAACTCAGCTGCCAGTGATCCTGTTGAAAGTTGGTTTTATTGTTGTGCCCTAATTTTGTAGTGAAGGAATGAAACTTTAACCAAACCATTTTTAAGCACAGAGATAAACTTCTAATCTCAGCTGACACTCACAGCTCATCTACCATTTAGCTCCTCGATAAATTAACAAAACCTCTCCACAGCTGAATAGCATCAATTCTCAAGTGTTTAATGTTATTTTTCCAGCCACTCAGTCCTACTTTGCATTTGCAAACCCCCAGAAAAGAGGCTGCACGATCCTGTCTCTTCTCACATTCCCTCCTCCAACTTAAGAGGCTTTAAAAAATAATAATAATAATCTTGGAGAGCAGCAGAAATAGCCTCCCTTTTGAAGATACACTGTGTTTTATCAGGTCTCAGGACACCACACACAATTTGGAGATAGCAGGATGGAACCTCTATCCTTAAATAATCCCACTTGGCACAAGGCTGAGGAAGCAGGGAGCACTCTGTGCTGGAGGGAGGAGTCCCTCCCACCAAATAACAGGGATGTGAATCCAATAATATTTTTTAATATGACTGTTTGATATCTTTTAGAAAGGTCAGCAGAAAAATAGAAGTATTTCCTTTCCTTTCTAAATACATCCTTCATCCCACAGGCCCCTTCCCCACAGCAGGAGGAACCAGGTCGAGTGTCAGTCACGTCTGACACTGTGGAATAAATGAGTCTTTAATCAATTTTGTTCATATTTGGAGTAAAAATAGCAGTTTTTTTTTAAGGAGAGACAGGGAGCACTTGGGTTCTAACCAAGCACTGCAGTGTTGCTGTGAGTTATGAGTGTGACACATGGGCTGAGCATTGGCCCAAAGAAACTAAGAGAATATTCCCCCAGAAATGGCCTTAAGGTGAGGGAGGGCAGGGTTAGATGGGATATTGGGAAGGAATCCTTCCCTGAGAGCGTGGGGAGGCCCTGGCACAGGTTGCCCAGAGAAGCTGTGGCTGCCCCTGGATCCCTGGAAGTGTCCAAGGCCAGGTTGGAGCAACCTGGGCTGGTGGAAGGTGCCCCTGCCCATGGCAGGGGGTGGAACTGGATGGGCTTTAAGGTCCCTTCCAGGCCAAACCATTCCAGGATTCTATGAAAAATGAGGGATGACAGTAGTAAAGGAGATGGAAAAAGACACTACTGAGTGTAAACTTGTATATGACAAAGGGGACTAATCTTAGAAGTACTTTTTTCTTTTGTTTTTGGTTTTTTGTTTGGGTTTTTTTTCACAGTAACATGTTTGGCTCAAATGAATTCCCACAGAATGCCAAAGCCATCCACTGTGGAAGAGCCTGGATCTCAGCCTGGATGAGCTCCTGCTCCCACAGCCTATTCAGCAACACTTGGGGATATTCATTCCATATTTCATGTCAGATATTAAATCCAAATTTCAAACATGTACTAGTTACTCTTCTTATATCACCCTGGTTTTAACCACTGTGCTTCCCCCAAATTCAGGATTTAGGTGCCCAGCTCTGTGCACAGCAGGAAGATGCTCCAAGTACCCTGATCCCTGATGCCAGGCACCTGCTGAACATCTGGATTTGTGTCTCTCACTAAAGCTCTGCCCTGAAGCCCCTCCTTGCTGGATTTACTGTGTCAGGCAGAGAAGGTGACCTCCTCTTACTCAGTAGTGCTCTTGGAGCAGCAACCACTCATTTCTTACCTTCCAACCTGCAAATTCACAAGCTAAAGCGAAGAAAAGCTGCAGCAAATTAATCAGTGCCTGGTGGTGGTGCCTGTTTTGACCTCAGCAGTTACACACACGTAACTAGAGGGTGCCTACAACCTGTTTACAGTCAGTGAATGCAGATCAGACACCAACTGCTGGGGTTCTCCTGCACCCAACAGGGAAAGAGCTGCAATTGCTTCACTTCATGCAAGTAATTACCCTGCATTTGCCCTCAGGCTGCTGGGAAGTTGCTGCAGTACCTTTTATCTGGGCAAAATTTGGGGTATTTTAGTCTCAGCTCTAATTATCAAACAAGCATGGCCTAGATGGGTTTTTCTCTCCTAGTTAGAGGTTGCTCATCCGAGCTGCAGAAGCCTCAGGTGTTTAAAAGCAGAGGAGACACAGAGGCTTTGAAGTTTTTCAGGCAGCTGGGCTTAAAAGGGCTGCAAGTCTGGCTCAGCTCCTTTGAGCACACGGTGAGGCTCATTATTGAACAGTGTTCTCAGTGAGGGCAAGTGTGTCATCACTGCCAGACTCCCAGAAACAGCCCAGTGCTGCCTCACTGCAGGAGATGCTGCACCTGCTTCGGCACTAATTAAAGCTGTGCATTCCCGAGAAAACAAAAGCCATTCCGGGGCCTTTGAACCCAAATCTTCCCACTGCCACGTCTCACACGTGGGCCACAGACACCCACAAATATTCCTTTCAAGAAACATTACCAATCCAGCTGTAAGTGTGCTCAGAACACAGTTTTTTTGCTTTCAGTCTCCACCTCCACCCTGGAATCTCTCCGAGCAGAAGCCGAACCTGCTCCCTCCCTGCAGGAACAGCCAAGGATGAGGAATAGTGGCACCAGGTTAAACAGCCCCAAGGACCTCAAACACAAGGCTGAAAACAGCAAATTAGTGATTCCAGTGAGTTGTCAGGTGATCCCTTGGGAATTCCCAGCGTGTCCTTTTAGGGATGGGGGTGAGAAACAGCTCAACTTCAGGGTGGTGGTGAAGCCCCTGATCCAGAGGAGGAAAGACAGCCCTGCAGGACAGCAGGTGAAATCCAGCTGCAGGTGCTCCCAAATCCCAGCTGGAAGGTGTGTGCCTGCATCCCCAGCTGGCTCCAGCTCTGAGCTGGGCACAGCTCAGCATCAAGTGAGCCAGGCTTAAGGATCTCCCCTCCAAACCCTGTGCTGGGAGCACTGAGCTTTCCCTGGGTGCAGATCACCCCCTTCTCTGCAAAGAGCAGAAACACTTTTCTACCTGAATCATTTCCCAACTGGCCTTCAAAAAGGCAAGATTTCTCTTTTTTGAGTGACATCTTTCCCAAATGATGGAAGGCAAATCACAGCACTTTTCAAAGACAGCAGCACCTTCCCCACGGTTTAAACTCGTAAGTGAGGGGTTTTTTTCTAGAAGTCCTTCCCTCTGCATTCAAATTTGTTCTTTAAAATGCTGCTATTGTTGGGAAGAAAAGAGAATTATCACAGAGCTGACAGTCTTACAGTCATGCAAAAGCTGCCATAATGGCAGAACCTTAATTGACAGGTTATCTCTGCCATAAAACACACACACAAGTTTCCCCTTCACTCAAGGAGTAACTGTGAGCAATAAACCAGCACCAACTCTAAACTCATTCCTTCCATCTCACGAGCTTCTTCAAGTCCTCCCAATTTCACACTTCCACACACATCAGGGAGGCCTTTTGGATTTAATGTGTAACTCTAAATATTTAAATTGTCCCATGTCCCTCCCTCTCATTACAGAAAAGAGGTTCTCAAAACTGCTCAAGTCTAGACAGAAAAGATGCTTTTCCTAAAACAAACATCAACAAGAATTTTGTTATCTGGCCATTTCTAGGGTCTAAAACCAATAAGAAGGTTAAAGTAACTTGTATTTCTCAGTGGTGTAATACCATAAATACACTGCAGTGCACTGCTCATTCTTTTGCTTTGCTTTTCAGTGTCACAAAGTTTAAAAATTATTCAAGTAGAGACCCTGGTGCCAAATTTTGGAATACTTCAGATACCCTGGGGTATGTTATTTCCCAGTTCAAATGGCTAAGGCCCCAGTCAGACATTCAGCAGCTGCAGCTTCAACACTGCTGAGAAAAATGAAAAAAAAAAACCAACAAAACAACAAAAAACCCCAAAGCAGTTGTGGCCAACACTCGGTGTTTCCTAGAAATCTGGCTCATTTCCACGTGGTTTTTCTATGAAATCAAGATGCTGACCTGCTGCTCCACTTGCACTTCAGTGTGTTCCTCAGAGCTGAGCTTTAGAAGCACTGAGGTGCTGCAAAAAGGCCAAGCAGAAACCTCTTCTTCCAGGAATCATCCACAAATCGCCTCTTCTGCCTGAGACTGGAACTGCTGCTGCTCTGGGACCTCTTCCCTCCTGAGTCCTCACTGAACTTCCTACTTCTGTTTGCCAACAGCAGTTCAGCTCATTCATTCACTACTACCTTCACCATCACATGGTGGTTTATCAAGGCCTGGGCTATCAGGAATATCCTTGTACTCTAACTCTTGGCTCCCTCCCACGGAATCACGGCGTCGATTTGTTTGCCAACAACGTGTTGTTACCTCCCCTTAACCTCGCTGTGTCATTACACAATCCCCACACAGAACTCACAGCAGCCAAGTGCAAAGCCCACACCTTCAAATCATGATCTTGGGACTTTACAGCCATCCATATCATCCACTAAAAACTGCCTCCAAGTGGGTAACAGTTGGTGAAATCCCATTTCAGAGCTTGACCTGATCTGGGTCTCCGAGATTAAAAGCTCAGCAGGGGTTATGTAAGAGCTGGTTAACAGGCCACAGAGTCACGTCCCAAACCCCAGGGTGTCACATCCATGTACAACCCACACTTCATAGGTTGGATTTGGGACAAGCCACCCCAAAATGGGAGAGGTTTGCAGCGAGCATCCAAGTTGTAAGTGGAGCGTGGCAACAGCGAAACATAAAACCCCCCTAAGCTGATTTTACCTGAAGCACAGAATGCTCCCTCTGCTCTTGGTCAAGGAAAGCAAGGCCTGGTTATGAAAATGCTCTTTTGAAAGCACGTTCTTCCTTTGTCCTCAACCATTAGGCAAGAACTTTATGGCTCACACAGCAAAAGTTCAACGTCCAGCGTGTTCCCCACACTGCCTGATAAGCTGCTGCACCGAGCTGGCACCTCAAGATACAACGATTCTGGCTGTGACAGTTGGGAAGAATTTGGAAACTGATACATGAACGTTTGGAGAGAGATCTTGCACGAAGACAAGAGCCTCCATCCTCACCTGCCATCTGGGAAAGTGCACATTCCCAGCCTGAGCCTCACAGCAGACAATGGGATGTTTTCACCTGGAGAGCCTGGAAAGGGTAAATTCTCCCCAGACTCCTCAAAAGGGAAGGTCTCCTTTGCAGGATGCACCGAAGCACATGGAGCTGAGCAGCAACGAGACACAACTTCCCTGGCAGGGAAAAACACCCTCATCTTTCCAGCCTTTAATAAGTGGATTTTCAAAGGTATCTCTGGCTCCTGTCACTCACCAAACACGGAGCAACTTTTATGTCTGCGGGTGGCTCATTTCAGATTTGCTCTGGTTGAGGATAAACAACCAGAGCAGAGCCCACAGCAAGTGTTAAACAAGAATTACCACATTTAATCTACAGAAAACAGAGTTTCCATGGCAAACTCTGTTTCTACTCCCTGACATATGATTATATCAATTATCTCTCCACAGAAATCACAATGTACTGATGTTTGATTTTCAGAATCACACACTCCGAGCAGTTTTGGTGCAGCCCTCCATCTTTAATAAGTGGATTTTCAAAGGTATTTCTTGCTCCTGTCAGTCCCCAAAACACCCCAAACGTTTATGTCTGCAAGTGCTTCATTTGAGGTTTGCTCTGGCTGAGGAGAAACAACCAGAGTAGAACCCACAGCAAGTGTTAAACAAGAATTTCCACATTTAACCCCCAGAAAACGGAGTTTCCACGGCGAATTCTACTTCTACTCCCCGACAAACAACCGTATCAATTATCTCCCCCCAGAAATCACAACGTGCTGGTGTTTGATGCTCCCAAGGACAGACCCAGAGCAGTTCTGGTGCAGAGGAAGGCACAGACAAGTGGAAGGCTCTCACCTAACGTGGCAGCTGCCGCCAGTCCGGCCGCGTACGGATCCGTCCCCGGGGGAGCCGCGCTGATGATGTAGGGGTTGGGAACAAAGGCAGCAGGAGCTAAACCTGCTGAAAACATACCTGTCAGTGAAAACAGACTTAACTGGGACTGCAGCCCTACCACAACACCTCTGGCCACCTGCCTGGGGAACACAAAACTCGGGTTCATTTAGTATTTTTAAGCTTTTTAGGGGTGGGTTTTCTATCGCAAGTGAGAAACTGCTGAGTCTTAACAGAGTTTACGTAAAGGAAAATTAATTCCAAGGATGGAATGCTCCCTGAGGAAAGCTCAAGGGGTAAAATACTTATATAAAACAGCTCAGGGAGGAGCTGACAGACCTTTACTGTTCAGGTGAATGGAGAGTAACACAAACTAAGTGCTTGTTACTACTCTGCATTTCCTACAGCGAGTAGGTCAGGACCCAAACTACCCTGTTTTGAGTTCCATGCCCATTACAGGACACCAGTCCTCCAACTGGTTAGTTTGGTTTAGTTCAGGGGTGTACAGGCATTCCCTGGCTCTGCAAAGGAACAGTTTAATCATTAGAGAAATCCCCGGTGGGCGGGAGAGGGGTGGGGAGGGGAGGGAAGGTGAAGGGGAGGAAGTTAAAAAGCCAAATAATTCAAATTCGGGTCTATCCCTGAACTCCACTGAGCACACAAGGGCACTGCACAGAGCTGGGAGAGTCCCAACACATTTCTAGTGGGATTCTGGGTTGGAAAAACTTCACTTAAAATGCTTAATGTGTTAAAAACGTTTAGCCCTAAGATGGTTCAACCCTTATCATCCAGGAGTAGAACTCTACAGTTCTCCCTGTTTTCTATGCACAGGACTAAGTGCTTTCTCACCAGTTAGTCTGTACTCTTTTAATAATATGAACCATGTGCTTGCACGAATTTTATCCTTCAATTATAAAGTCAGACCCCAGGCAGCTGGACCACAGGCAGCACATCCAGATTTATATTCAATTGGGCATTTTCCCCTCCCTTTATTGTGCTGCTTACCCTGGTTTATGCCTCACTCAGAGCAAGCAAGGACTTCCAAAGGCTCTCCTGACTGAACAGCACTCTCAGAAGGGTGAGAGTGTCAATCCTGCCAGACATGAGAGCTCTTTTAAACCCTTCTCAAGTGTGCAAGAGATACCCACCAAATCTTTCAAGCACATCTTTAACCAATCCATCCCCACTCGTGTGCTGATTACCAGCTACAGAAATACCCTCTGAAACCTCCCGATTTTTTTCTCCCTGGTGTTTTCCCGCTGGATTAAGAGAAGGGCAGTGAAATGGGATGGATTTAAGGCAGGACTTACCTATGTGTGGCTGGTGGGCAGCAGCCAGGGCGTATTGCTGCTGCTGTGCTGCCGTCAGCTGCTGCACCGCCAGGGCGTTGGGTCTTTGGAACAGCTACAGGGCAAAAAAAACACAAGCATGGCACTCAAATCAGGCACAAAAAGCTGCCTTTTCTTTCTTTTAAAGCAATTCCTTTACACCAGATTTTGTTTCAGCACTACAGACATTTCTCTCTTTAAAGAGAAATGTTTCAGAAGGAATTGAGAAAACCCAAATCCTCGGGGGGGGGGAAAAAAAAACCTTTTGAGATCAATTGCCTGTGTTAATCCACCTGAAAAAAAATGCAGTTCTGAAGCACAGCTACCCACAGCTGGGGTTTCCTCTGCTATTCCCTTCCTGCACAATTCCCAAAGGCCATTTTTCCCAACTCATCCTCACACACACAGAGCCCCCAGGTGCAGCCTGTGGGTCACCAGAGGAGTCTGTGGGCAGCGCCAGGTCCGGAACACACCGAGTCCAGTCACACCAGTGGACTCTCCCAGATGGCCTGGAGTGGGAACTGGGATGGCAGAAGGCTGCAGAGCCAGGTGTGCAGAGGTGACACACCTGAGATGGCTCCAGAGCCACCTCAAGATGGGATTCCAGCCTCGGGGATCACAAACTCACTTTATTTGCTCCCTTTATTGCCAACCTTGCATCTCCAGCCTCTCCTACGGGAATCCAGGCAGGAACTGGAAATTCTTTTTTGACCACAGACACAAACCAGACCTGGGGATATTCTGGTTAAGCCACCCAAAGCACAGCTTAGAGCCAAAGCCAGCTCAGAGCTCCCTGAAATCTTAGGGATCAATGGGCAACGTTAGTGAGAACAGTCAGTGTTAATGATCAGTTCTCAAGGTTATTGAGAATTTTTTTCTCCATTAAAAAAAGAAAGGATTCCATTAATCTTTGAAGTATTTTTGTCTAGGTTTGGGGTTTTTTTATTCACCCAGGTCCTTACTAAAACCTTATTTCTCCAGCTTCTTATGCCTCTACTTAAGTGAACCCCTGAATCCATCCATTAACAGCCTCACTTAGCTCTAATTAAAACACTTAAGGATATACCAGCTGATTATCTACTTTGAAACTATCCAGCAGCAGGTCCATTCCCACTCCCACAAGGGATCATTCCCGAGGTGTGAACAGCTCCACAAACCACTAGGATAAATGTTTTCTCTCTCCACTCACTCACAAACAAATTGTATTCCTAAATTCGATTTTCACACCTATTTACATCCTGCCCTCCCTTCAGACTGGACAACTGATACTTCAGCTGGCACAAAAGGCAACAATTCTGCCCAAATTTCTGGCAGAAACCCACGACCATCAAGAAGAAGCATAGAAACATTTAGAAAATTAGGCTGGGAGGCTTTTTTATGGGCAAAAATTGGAGTTAAGTCTCCTGAGAGCAGGAGGAGCAAAGATGGGTGAGAAAATCCACCTCTTTTTTTCTTCCTTTTACAAGTTCAGGTGGAGGAAAAACATGCAAGGGCTCAGCATCAGATTTATGATGAGGAAACTGAGTATTTAGGGGGTGTAGAATTGATCTGTGTGCCATAACCCCAAGGACTGTTCACCCCTCAGGACGTTGGGGGCCCTACAAATATCCAAGGGGTATCAAAATGTTCCTTAGGGAAAAACAGATCAAATCTACAGTTACTTTATGACCTCCCTGAGCCATAAAACAAACACACCTCTTTTTGCCTTCCCCTTTTTCCCCCAAACGTGGCTTTCAGCAGCACTTCATGCTCACACAAAGCCGAGTGCTCGTTAGGGGTGGGAGCTTCGTTAAGGTGCCATCTGCCAGCAGGAGCTGGGGCAAAGGCTTGGCCTGTCATCCCTCAGTTTAAAATAGCAAGGACAAGGTGGACAGCTACAGGAAAAGGAATGAGGGACATTGGTCTGTGGGAGTCACCAGCAACACCTTGTTCACTGATAAACATCAGCATGGAGAAAAAAAACCTATATATATATATATATATATATATATATATATATATATATATCTGCTCCAGTGCTGGTGTGGATTCCTCCAGAACAGCCAGCCCTGGGTTTGGGGTCTTCTTTTGTATTGAGTCCAGCAGTCCAATATTTCAGCTTTCTTCAGCTGCAAAATTTCACCAAAACCTTTAATTTTCAGGTGGTTTTGCACATCCCTGGGATGTGTTTTTCCAGTCTGTTGATGTGTATTCCGTCAAAGGGAACTGCTGAGAAAATAGCTGGATTATTATTTACTTGTCTTAAGGGCAAAAAAGCATTTGTCTTCTCTGAAAATACCTTCTCTTGTGCTCACTTTACATGTGTGAGGACTTCCACACCTCCCAAATGCACCTCAGTGATCCATTTTTTAAATGGCAACTGGCAAAACAGAATCCTCAACTACTCGGAGCATCAATATTTCACCTGCTGCTGGGGGATATTTTGCTGTCTGTTTGCTCTCTCCCACCTTGGGAGCACAGCTGATCCCTGCTAAATCTGACTGCCAGACACACAAGGCCTATAAGGGACTTTGGACAAGGATCTGGAGTGACAGGACAAAGGGGAATGGCCTTAAATTAAGAGAGGAGATATTCAGACTGGTTATTAGGAAGGAATTGTTCCCTGGGAGGGTGGGGAGGTTGCCCAGAGAAGCTGTGGCTGCCCCAGCCCTGGAAGTGTCCAAGGCCAGGTTGGAGCAACCTGGGACAGTGGGAAGTGTCCCTGCCCATGGCAGGGGGTGGATGAGATGGCTTTTAAGGTCCCTTCCAACCCAAACCATTCCAGGACTGTGACCTCTCCCTCTGCCTGCTTTAATTCACTGTTTTGCTCAGTAAGACTCAGCTCACTCAGAAGAAACTCAGAACAGCTCAAACACTGCAGCTGTACCTTTCATGCTGCCTGTAACATGTCCAGGGAAGCAGAGCCAAGAAAAACCATCCCAATTCCAGGCTCTACTCAGCCAGATAAGCCCCTCTACCACGGGAGCTCTGGGAATCATCAGCTCCATGTATTTTAAAGCCTCGCTGTGCTGTCTCCATCTGCTGACAGCATAGGCCTACATTCCAGAACTACAAATCAGTGTTTAACTGTGGGATTGAGTAGGTGGAAAAAAAGGAAAAGAGCCCTCTGGAACAGGAATATTAACTTGAATTTACCAAGGTATCAAAAAGTGCACCAGGAGCACTTCAGGCTGTTAGAAATCCCATTTAGAGGGAAAATCTCCAACCCTGCAGTGAGGCTGTTCTCCTCTCCTCCAGGTGCACACAAATGAAGGATCATCCCCAGCACGTGGGGGAGATCACTGAGGGAATCCCAAGGAGCCAGAAGAGCACAGTCTGTGTTATAGTTATGGGAATGCTGGGCGATGGGATTCCTCTAAGCCAGTTTCTTCTGCAATATAAACATCTGACATCTCTAATCAGATTACACGTGGATAAGACCTTCCCCTTCTTAATATTGCTTTGAGCTGAGCCTGCTTGTAATCCCTTCAAAGGATATGACGCTTCCCAACAGCCCCACAAAGACACTTTTACGGATGAGATCCTTTGCTCAGGACATATTTCCTCCTGACAACTGAGTGGAAAAAACTACACTGCCAACAGACAGATTCCTTTCGTGCAGGCTGTGGCTGGCAGCGAGCAGCAAGGAGCACTGGGGATCATACATTAATGAAATGGGCACAAATGTGAGCCAAGATGTCTTGGGTTTACACAAACGTGCACTGAGAGGTCACATTTGGCAGGGGAGAGGATCATTATCTTTACTCCAGCACTTGGGTCAACAAAGGGCTGTTGTTTGCATTTACTGGAGGTGCAAGGAACTGTTGCAACTAAGCTGAAACTTGAAAATAAGAGTTCTTGTTCAACAGCTTGTGCTCAGCAGGAGCTGAGGGGGGAGCAAAGGGTGCCAGAGGGGCAGGGTGGGCTGTGCTCCTACTGCTCCCCAAAAACTTGGAGACAGGAGAGGATTTCAGCTTCACAGCAGGGCAAGGCACCTGGGGAAGGGGCTGGAGGAGGCTGAGGGAGCTGGGGGGGCTCAGCCTGGAGAAAAGGAGGCTCAGGGGGGACCTTCTGGCTCTGCAACTCCCTGACAGGAGGGGGGAGCCGGGGGGGGTCGGGCTCTGCTCCCAGGGAACAAGGGACAGGAGGAGAGGGAACGGCCTCTAGCTGTGCCAGGGGAGGGTCAGGTTGGACATCAGCAGGAATTTCTCCATGGAAAGGGTGGTCAGGCATTGGCAGGGGCTGCTCAGGGAGCTGGTGGAGTGCCCAGCCCTGGAGGTGTCCCAGGAAGGCCTGGCCATGGCACTCAGTGCTCTGGGCTGGAGGACAGGGTGGGCATTGGGCACAGGGGGATCCATGGGCTGGGAGGGCTTTTCCAACCCAAATGATTCCATGGTTCCCAGGCAGCCCAGCTGACAGCTTTAAACACGATTACATGGAGGTGACATCAGCTCTAGGTGGATATTAACTATCCACTTCACATGAAATAAAAATCCCAAACCCAGGCCAGCCCAAGCCAGAAACCCACGTTCCACTGGTCCCGAAACAGGCACCCTTCCCTGCTCTGCCTTACTCTGGGAGTTTTTATTTCCCCTTACTAGGTGCTAGACGTGCTAAATTTTAAATTCTTCATTTTGAAAGGCTGAAAGAAACAAATAAAAACTCCTTGAACTTGTAAATGAGCCTTCATTTAAATAGAAAACACTGAGAAAATGCAAATGAGAGGCTTCCCATTCCTGCTGTACAGCCCCATCTCTAATGGTTCTTCAGAAAGCAGCTCATTTATGTAGCCCTAACGTACTGTTTTAAAAAAATACACAAGTTTCGTGGTTTGACAGCAATTCTTGAATCCCAGATCCCACACCAGGGTAAGAGAAAGACTTGAAACTATCTTGTTTTTTTTCCTTTTTGAACTATACAGCAGCTATTTAGTTTAATCATTACAAAATTTTCCATCCTTCACCTCCCAAACATGGTGTGGAATAAAACAGCCAAACGAGCTGTAACACAGATATTTACACTGCTATAAGACCACGGTAACTCTGAAGCCTCAGCACAATCTTGGCAGTGGTTTTCCTCAATCCCAAGTGCCAGCAGCCCTTTTGCTAAAAAAGATCAGATATTTTAAGCAAGCCAGGGTTAGTTCTATGCTCCTGCAAACAGCTACAACAAAGGATTGCTTTCTTCTTTGAGGGATATCACACTTGCAAAGGGAAGGCAATAAAGTTTACAATCATTACCCAAAGGAGCAGGAACAGAAGCAGATTAAGAGTCGATGGCTGGATCCAGGCCCAGCATTGAGGAGGAGCCAAGAGCCAGGCGAGGCCTGGGTGACTGCTCCTGGGTGACTGCTCGGGGATGAGGAGCCCGGGCTCGCGTGGGAGAAAGGTCAAACAAGCTCTGAGATAAAGGTTTGGAGTGCTGGACTCTGCTCTTGGGTTTTAAACCAGGCTCAGGTACAAGCAGTGGGGTTTGAACTCAGAATTCCCCCAGTCAGGGCAGCAGAGCCCAAAGTGGGGCTGAGACAGAGCCCAAAGTTGGGCTGAGACAGAGCCCAAAGTGGGGCCGAGACAGAGCCCAAAGTGGGGCTGAGACAGAGCCCAAAGCTGGGCTGAGACAGAGCCCAAAGCTGGGCTGAGACAGAGCCCAAAGCTGGGCTGAGACAGAGCCCAAAGTGGGGCTGGGGCCGAGCCAAACACGGGGCTGGGGCCAAGGCCGAGCCCAACACGGGGCTCAGCACATGGGCTGAGCAGATGTTGGACTGTCCAGTCCCTTTAAGGGCTCTAGGGTGGTGTTTATTTTTTGTTTAGCAGTTTTTCTAATTTACAGCTCTTTTTCAATGCTAACTTACTCAAGATCCCAACGATTCCTACCTGGAGAAGTGCTGTGGATCCCTGCATAACCTGTTTGTTACGGGTCCCAAGGCTTCTGTTCAAGGTGCCAGTTATCCCCAGAGAAGTGCTGTGGACAACAGCTGGGGATAACTGCTAGGAATACCTGGATAACCTGTTTGTTCCAGGTCCCAAGGCTCCTGTCCCCCTCCAGCTCCCTGGGAGGACACACACAGCACCCTCTGCACAGCACAGCGATAAAACCATTCCAAGCCTTCCTCCACAAGATCCCAGGCTCATCTAACCCCACACTGACTCTTCTGGATGGAGCAAGGACCAACTCTTCACCTGCTGCTGGGAATTGTAGTCGAAGAGCCCCACGGTGGCCGCGGCCGAGTCCACGGGAACCTGGGTGCCGGAATAATCGAACTGGAGGGGCTCCATGCCCACGTGCTCCATGGGATCCAGGGGCACGCTCTGGGACTCGATGTTGGAGAAGTCCTCCACAGGCTTGGCCCCGTTGGTACTGGCCAGCTGGGCCAAGCCCTCGGATCCGTTCTGGTTGGGGCCCAGCAGATCCACCTCGCTCGCCGAGTTCTGGCAGTTCCCGGGCGTGCGGCTGTGAGGGGAGGGAAAACTCATCACTGAACACGTCCCTGACGCACCCAGCACGCACAGAACCGCTGGGAGGGGTGCTGAGGAAGGGGGGAAAACACATCTGAAACAGCTCCTCAAGTTAATGCTACAGAATGACTTATGTATTTAAAAAACAAACAAAAAAAATTCACCTGCAACCCCCCCCAGTTCCCCAGCCCCAAACTCCTGTCCCAGTAAAAACAAAATTCAGTTTCTATTTTTCTCCTCAGTCAGTCAATGGAGGACTGACTGAACAAGCCAGGATTTCAGCAATGCTGGTTATTTTTTCATCAAGCTATCTGGTGATTATTAACTGTGTGATACTCTGGCACTGTGTCTCCCTTGAAAGTTTTCTAAAGGAGCTCCCACAGTTTCCTGATGACCTGCAATAAGGATTGGACTCAATGGGAATGGTTCATCTCCATGCAGTGTGCACTTCCCAGCCTTTTGTTTGACTTTTACACTTTTTTTTTTTTAACAATTTGTTTGGCTTTTCCAGTTTTCCTGCATGTCAACAGGAGCCAAGGCAGGTACATAAGTGAGCAAGAAACACAAATGTGTCCTTTACATCAACACCCACAATTTCAGAAAGTTTTAATCCCAGAAAAGCTACAAGGATCAAATCCAAAACCCCAAGAATAATCTAGACTGGTACATAAGCAGAGTCAACACCTTCCACAGGTGTTTCCATAGGGATCCCACACAGAATGATTAAATTAGGTGTGAAAATACCCCAGATTACAACAGCTAGGCCTAGGTGTGCTCTCAGGTGTTCTCTACCTTCTCCCTGTGCTTCTCCAGGTACCTTTATAACATCCTTGGCACACTGTTCCAATGAGCCAAAGGCTCTTTCACTGCAGCATGAAAAAATCCTTCCAAAAACATTAAATGCATGTGCTGGTTTGGAATTGTGCTGGGAACAGTGCTGGGAACACAGGGATGGCTCAGGTTCTGCTGAGCAGGCCTGGCAGAGCCTCTGCTCCTCATCCCTCCAGAGAGGGGGCTGGGGGGCACAGGGGGCTGGGGGGACACAGGCAAGACAGCTGATCCCAGCTGAGCCCAGGGATTTATAGAGAAGAGGATTGATTTAGACCAGACAGGAGTTTTTTTTACAGTGAGGGTGGGCAGGCCCTGGCACAGGTTGCCCAGAGAAGCTGTGGCTGCCCCATCCCTGGAAGTGTCCAAGGCCAGGTTGGACGGGGCTTGGAGCAACCTGGGCTAGTGGGAGGTGTCCTTGCCCATGGCAGGGGGTGGATGAGATGGTTTTTGAGGTCCCTTCCAACCCAAACCATTCCATGATTTCCATGAGCATCCAGCATCACACTCAGCATACAGAGCTGGGGGGAGAAGAAGGGGAGGATATTTGGGGTGATGGTGTTTGTCTTCCCCAGTCACTGTTCCAGAATCACAGACTGGGTCAGGCTGGAAGGGTCACAGTGTCCCATCTGTTCCCACCTCCTGCTCCAGCAGGGCCATCCCAGAGCACCTGGCACAGGATTGTGTCCAGAGGGGTCTGGAATATCCCCAGGGAGGAGACTCCACCCCCTCCCTGGTCTCTGTTCAGGGCTGGGTCACTGCCCAGCAAAGAAGTTCTTCCTCCTGTCCAGGTGGAACTTCTGGGCATCAGTTCCTGCCTGTTCCTGCTGTGCCATTGCTGGGCCCCCCCAGCAGAGCCTGGTCCCTCCTCTGCCCCCTCCCTGCAGCCCCTGACACACCCTGGGGAGGGCCCCTCTCAGGCTCTGCTCTGGAGGCTGAACAGCCCCAGCTCCCTCAGCCTTTGCTGCTCCCAGAGCTGCTCCAGCCCTTGGGTATCTTTGTTATGACAGATCCCAGCTCTCCTGGGGATGGAGCACCTGCCTGCCTTGGGAAGTGGTGAATGAATCCCTGGCCTTGCTTTGCTTCATGCACAGCTTTTGCTTTCCTTATTAAACCGTTTCCACCACGAATTTTCAATTCAACCCATGAGTTTTCTCACTTCTCCAATTCTCTCTCCATCCCACTGGAGTGGAGGAAGTGAGTGGTTGGGGGTGCTGAGTGTTGGCTGGGGTTAAACCCCACCAGTGTGACACTAATTAGCTGTTAATTAACAGTGCACATACCTGAAGTCTTTGACATCTGCGTCGATCCCGTTCTGAACAGGCAAACCATTTGTTTTATCCATCACATCCCCCTCCTCCTTCAGATCTCCCAATTTATCACCATCAAACGTGCCCTTATTTTTCTTATCCCCTTTGTCATTCTCATCAGTCTCTGCATCCCTTGGCCCCTGGGCAAAAAGAGACATTGTTTTAATAAGCTGAGTTTTCAGATCGATTTTGCTTTCATCCCGAGATGGTCACAAATCAAAGGCACATGTCACAATAAAGGAAGTCACTTGCAAACGTTAATTCTTACAAAAAAAAAAAAAGCAAAATAGCCCCTAACAATTGAAGAAACGAGGGAATTAGTTCTCACTCTTCCAAGAGATTTCATCTATTCAGCTTCTTCCATTTAGTAATTCAGGGTTTGCTTCTACAGGCTCTAAAAATCCCAACCCAAAATAATCTTATAATTCAAGATGGGACTTCAAAATTCACGACAGCACGTGCTGCAGGGGAATAAACTGGATTAGAGCCTCTCTGGAAGTCACTGGCTCGGTGTCAGAGATGCAGTTATTGACTGGCAAGTGCAAGTGTTGGAGAATCACCTCGTTTTGGGGAGAGGCATCACTGATTTGCACATTGAATTCCAAGGAACAGCTCATTTAAAAGCACTCAAACATATCCCTGACTCAGTCTTGGTTCATGTAATCCTAAAGCACATTTCTTTGGGAGAAAAAGGGGGGGTGAGAAAGAGGAAAAAACGGATTTCTGTCCTGTTGAGCATTTTATGAGTGGTATTACAGCTCCAGCATTTCTGCCCTTAATGTCTGCCTTTTATTTCACTTGGGAGAAGAATAAAGGGTGATGGTGCCTGGGGCAGCGTTTTGAACAACAAAAGGGAGAGGGAAAACAACATAATTTATGATAAAAAACAGCAAGGGGCATATAAACATATTTATCAGGGCCAGCTTTGGTGCTGTCATAGGGCCAGACATGCAAACCCTGCCTCCCACTTCATCTGAGGGAAAAGTGCTCTGCACATAGCAAGCACTGGATCAACTAAACACTTTATCCATCCCCTCTAACTGAAGGGGGAGATTTTTCCCTCATATTTAGGAAAAAAAAGATAGTTTTGAAAGCAATAATCTGGTGCTGCTTCTTAAATAAAACTGTGTTTCCTCAATATTGTAGGGGGGGTTTGGAAATGCCAACGTTAAATATAAACTTGGAGTCCAAATGTCCCCCCCACAATGGGATATTCAGACCCCTGAGTGCCTGTGCTGTGGAGGAAACACCTCTCAGACCCCCAGCTGGGATAAACTGGCTCCTTCCACTGACTGTTCATTCCCCAAAACTCCTGTTCCGTGGGCTCAGGGCTCACCCAGGTTATCAGGTGCCCACGAAGGAGGGCAGGGATGAAGGGAGCTGCAAACCAGCTCTCTGGAGAGCTGAGCACGGCACCTGAGCATCACAAAGGATGGGTTTCCACAATTCCTGGCCCAGCACTGGGCTGATGAGGCAGAGCTGAGGTCCAGCCCCTTCTCCCCCCCACAGGGATGGGCTCTGATGCCACCTCTCTCCCCACATCCTTAAATTTGAGGCGGCAGCAACTGCGCTCCTTCCTCACCCCAAGGAGCACAGGCACTGGAGCCATTTCTCCATTGGGAATGCTCTGCCTGGACAGCAATATCCCACCTGGCGTGGGTTTGGGAGCTTTGTCCCATGTCTGGGATCACTACAGGGAGCTTTTTGCTCACCAAGGCTCAGTCAGAACCCACAGGAGTATCTGCAACCTTGTCCAACCACCAGCTTGGATGGGGTGCTACTGCTGGGGGGCTTAGCCAAAAACCAGGGAATGGCAGCACCTTCCCATCCCTCCCTTCCATCCCACACCCCCCAAGTCAAGGACAATGGTTAAATCTGCTGGTTTGAGACTGGTCAACCTGCCTGTTTGAGGAAAGAGTGAAACTAGGGGCTAATAAAAGAAGAAACATCTGCCTTAGGACTGAATTAACACACAAACAAACTGAGCAGCAAATAGAGAAAATAACACAGCAGGACTGAAATGTGGGAATCAGGCAGACTTACAAATCCTCCTTTCCTTAGGCAGGAATCTCCAGGAGACGAGCTCAACACGTACTCCACCATGCTCACACCCAGTCCTCCACTCTCTGACCGTGGGGAAAGCACCGAGTTGACTTCACTGTTCACGTGAAAGCCCTGCCCAGGTCTTCTCTGAACCATAATGGGTTGGGAAACAGAGTGATCTGGAACAAAAACATGGGTAATTCTTGTAAGAAGATCCAACAAAGGAGGCAAGTCATTAAAGATGTACTCTCCAGGGTCTTATCTGCACTAAGAAGTGCCAACTTTGTGACTCTGGTGCTGCCCATCAGTAAAACCAGGAGGAGTTTCTCATTTTTTAAACATTAGAACCTGTAAACCTACAAGTGAGAACTCCATTAAAATCTAAACTAAACTTTAGAAATTTAAGAGTCATTAAAGGTTGCAATTAAAAAGACAAAGTTCTAGTTTTTACTTTTAGTAAAACTCTTGCACTAGTGCAGTGAAAAACAGTTTTGGTTTGTCATTTAAAACATGATCCTGTTGTTACACCAGCCTGTGTTTGTGTTCTTGGTCCTAAGAACTGCAGGGTTTGTGTCATGATCAGAGACTTTTGTGGCTATTTCCTCAAAAAATGTTTATGAGAACTTCATCTCCTCTTCCTCATCCCATCCTCCTGCACCAGCCCCATCCCTGCTGTGTGAGGCTTTGAGATCCAACCAGGAACAGACTCAGGAGAGACATCTCCAAGTCCTTCTGGGCTCTGCAAAAATCACTGGCTGGGCAAGAAATGACCCTGAATCCCCAAGGAGGGAAGGGAAGGAATTCTCTGAGTCAAAAATAACAGGCAGCAGACATAGGAGTTGCCAGGGGCTGGTGGAAGGGACATGGAAGGGACATCAATATCCAGTGATAGTGATAGTGCAGCTTCCTTATAAAGCAGGTAGAAGCTGCCAGAGCAGTAATTCTATTCTCTCACTGCTCCTGGCTACACTTCCCTCCTTCTCCCCCAGGCCAGCACAAGCAACCACGTGTCCACAAAGTGAAGTGGACTGGATTTGTGGAATAAAGACAGCAAAAAAGGGAAAAGCCAGTTGGAACCCAGCTCGAGTGCCCGGCAGGACTCAGTGCACTGCTGCACAACTTGTGTGCCACCAGGAGGGGAAGAAGGACAGGAATGATGCTTTGAACACTTTAAAACTGACTTTAGACACTTCAAAAACACAATTTTGAGGTAGAGGAGTGAAAACCCAAAGCCACGTGGGAGGCCTGCAGTGCATGCTGGGGGCACAGAGAGGAGAAGGGACGGAGCCAAGGGCGTCTCACAGCAAACCAGGCTTCACCCTTTCCGTGCAGCCCGGGCACCGGGGGGATTTTGGGGGGCTGTTCCTTCATTTTAGACGAGCCAGAGGGGAAATTGTGCCTTGCCTGGCTTCCAGCCCCTCAGGAACACAGGCTCTGAGGGGCATTACTGGAGAATATGTGGCTCCTGTGACTCCTGGAGCTCTGGGATCAGCCCTGTGGGAGGTGACCTGCCTGGGGGTGGCACAGCCCAACGAGAGGCAGCAGAGGAGAAAGTCCCTTCCTCAGCTGTTGGGAGAGCCTGGCTCAGCCTTTAATCCACCTCAGCTCCAGTCTGAACTAATAAAACCTGGCACAAAGTGCTGCCAAGAGCTGGGGCTGCAGGGGACAGGCACCCCAAAACCTCCCCCGTGCCCAGACTGACCCAACACATTGAATTTTGAGAAGCTTCATCCCCTTTTTACAGTCATTTTTTCAATTTAAATGACACAAAACGCCCTCAGCACTATAGCAAAGCCTTCAATTAAATAATGGACGTTTTTGTGAGGGAAAAGCCCCACACAACAGTGCAGCTGCTGTAAAATCCCATTTCCTGGGAGCTGCAGGTGTTTGGAAAGTGCAGGAGACGCCCCGAAGTGTTTAAGGAATGTATTCATCACATATAGAAAACAGAGAAAATAACAAACACAAGGGCAGCATTTCAAACCCAGCACATGTATGGGATTTTTTTTAACATTTAACTGAAACCAACCTGAACACCCCTGAAGTCCAAAGTCAGGGATAGTCTCTGACCCAAGTTCAAAATCCTTGGCAGATATAATTCAACACTCCTAATTCAAAACATCAATTTTTTTTTTTCTTTTTCAAACTGGTTTTTGTTGGTTTGTTTGGTATTTTTAAAATTGTGGGTGTTTTGGGTTTTTTTTGCTCAAACTTTCAAGTGATTCATCCCAAGGCAGAAGACACATCAGAAAGTTTAAATTGAAATTTTAAGGGTAATTTAAAACTTTTAAGCAAACACACACGAATTTGCACACATTTACATTAAACAACCTTTCGATATGTATGGATATTTTAACTCAATCACAAAGCAATGTGGGGTTTTCTATTTGTTTTTTATTATATAAACCAGATGGCTTTTTAAAATCTTTTCAGAACTCGGTGATTGTGAGTAGATGAGTTGCACATTTCTGTATTTAACCCCAACTAAATTAAGTAAACAATCAAACTACCTGATGCTCCCCAAGCACTGTCTCTCCACTGATCTCCCAGAAATATCCCTTTTGGTCCATCTTTGCTGGAATCATCAGATTCCCAAAACTTTTTACCCGGCAACAGCTGCTGCAATTAAAAAAAAAAAAAAACAAAAAAAAAAAAAGAGAAAAAAAAAGAACAAAACAAAGCAAAGCATGATTAAAATAAGCATAAAATGCAAACATAAACCATAAGCAACTCCCTTCTAAACAGGAATCAATCATTAAACATAAACTGATCCACCCAAATATTTATACACACGGGGTGAAAGCCACACGGCAGCTGAGGGAGCAATTCCATCATCCCAATCCTCTTATATTCTTAAATGCTTTATGAACCCCACACGTCAGCACACACATACAACCACACTCTCCAAGCTCTTGCAAAATAATACATATATATATAGTAGAAAAACCTATTGTGATCAGAATATACAATGACACTCTCCAGACTCTTGGAAAATAATATATATATGTATATATAGAGTAGAAAAAAACTATTGTAATCAGAATACACAGACAATGACACTCTCCAGCTTCTTGTAAGAAAATACATACATATATATATGTATATATATATAGGTGTGAATATATATATATATATATATAGGTGTATATATATATAGGTTTAGAAAAACCTATTGTGATCATAATATCAGGAGTTCAGCTGAGCTGGGGGGACCTCTGTGAGCACCCAGCACAAATTCCTGCTGCTGGCAGGGCCAGAAAAGCTCAGGAGATGCCAAGAGCTCTCACTTGTCCCCCAGCCAGTGACTGCTGAGGACTCCCGGTGTTCCCAAGGTTTTTTGGGAACACTAATGAGACTGAGCAGTTCTGGGCCGTGTGGGTTGAGCTGAGGGGAGGAAAAACAGGTTCTGGGCTCCTGAGAATGAGACAGAGGCATCCTGGGCTTGGGTGAACCCAAGGACAACTGCACTGGAGGTCAGGAGATGGGTTTTGGAAATGGCACCTCCACGGGAGCAAGGGAAGTCCTGCTGCCTGGGATGGCCATCACACCACCGGCCACATCCATCCTCTGAGGGACAGGAACAGCAGCAAGGAGCCTTTCCTGCTGGAGCTGGGATAAAACTCAAGGAACTGGGAGATGGGAGCCTGCATCTGTTTGAAATCCCCACGGAGCAAGGAGGAGTCATCAACCAGTGGATCTCTCCTGTGTATATGGAGTGCTGAGAACTGACTGGGATCAGTCTCAAGGTGACTTCAGTGCCCTGCCTGATACCAGCTCCTGATGGTAACTCCAGCAAATGTGCAAATTTAAAGCTAAAATGTAAGGGTAGATCAGCTGGTTGCAGCTGGAGCAGCACTAACTGATCTCAGAGCTCCCAGCTGCCGTGGGAGCTGGTTTGAGACACAATCAGAAAAGCTGTGCTCCCCATTTCCTTCTTACCTTAACCAAGCTCTGCCTGTTTCCAGAATCAATCAGTTTTTAGCAATGTTGACTCCAGGATTTCTCCTTCCACCCCAAACACGGTGTGGGTTGCTGAGGATTCTCTCAGCTGAACGATAAAAGCAGGGAAGCCCCACATTCCCCTTTATGCAATCCAAAAATACCTCCAAATATAAGAACTCCCATCAGCAACACTCGTTTCCAAACACTCAGACTAACCTGTTCCTCCGTCTGCACCGTGGGGTTGGGGAAGGAGGTGAAAACCAAGGCAGAGCTCTCTAGTATTTATAAACATAAACACACATCAGGTGTCTCACCATTGTTTTTTTTACGCTTCTGTCATTCCAATATTTATAAAAACGCAGCTTTTTCGCTCCTGCTGCTGCCACTCAGCAAAAATAACAACTTGCCTTCTCGTGGTGCTTCGAGGAATTCCCAACAGAAAGTGATTTGAATGAATTAAACTAAATTTTAACTGCAACTAAACATTTCTCATTTCCTCTGACAGCATCTCCCGGTGGAAAGCACAAACTGTGCTGCAGCCACATCAACAATCACGAAATCCCAGAATGGTTTGGGTTGGAAGGACCTTAAAGATCAGCCAGTGCCACCCCAGGCAGGAAAGAATGAGCAGAATAGAGCTTTTCCCAACCTTAATGACTCCATGATTTTCTTTCCAAGGATAAAGGAGATGGACTTTTTATGTGGGCCTGGAGTGACACAACAAGGGGGAATGGCTTCCCACTGCCAGAGGACAGGGATAGATGGGATACTGGGAAGAAATCCTTCCCTGGGAGGGTGGGCAGGCCCTGGCACAGGTTGCCCAGAGAAGCTGTGGCTGCCCCATCCCTGGAAGTGTCCAAGGCCAGGTTGGACGGGGCTTGGAGCAACCTGGGCTAGTGGGAGGTGTCCCTGCCCATGGCAGGGGGTGGAGCAAGATGGGCTTTAAGGTCCCTTCCACCCCAAACCAGTCCAGGATTCTCTGAAACCTGTGGCAGCTCTGGGTCAGTCAGACACTGCCCTGGCTGGGGGTGACTTAAGGCTAATTCAGCACTTTACTGTTTCCCTACTATCCTCTACCTCGTTCTTAAGGGAGAAAATAATCCCCTTTCCAACAGAATCCTGCAGATCTGCATCCCAACACCCTCAGTTTTGCAGTGAATCACTGACAGGGTCAGCAAACACTAATTCTCACTATCTCGTGGACACACACCAGAACCAACCACAGCTCTGTCCCCTCCAGTTTAATCTTTCCCCTCCAGAAGCATAAAGTTTCCAACTGGAAGTTCTGTACCACAAGCAGAAACAATTAGGATATAGACATTTATTGCACATACAGATCCTGGATGGATTTACAGATATGGGGGAAAGCCAAAAGCCAATATTAACAGATGGTAATGGGGGTCTTTGTTCTGTCAAGTGCTGTTCCAACCAACACCAGAGGGTTACCAACAGCAATCATCTGCACTGAATTATGCAACAGGCTGCCAAGACAATGAATTTTTCCTCAGGGAAAGTTGTCAGTTGCAATGGAGTTAAAAAAAAAGATATTTTAAGTGACTATCAGCCAGTTCTGCAGGCTGAAGATTTAAAAAGAACAAGCAGCGGTTTAGAACGAGCCTCCTTTATTCATTCCCTGGTTTTTATTAAAATTGACCCTATCTAGTATGAAAATAATCCCTCTAAGCCCTCTTACAGAGGACTTAAGAGTTAGGCCAATATTCAATTTAGCAGAGAGGGGAGGAGGGGATGACTTACACATCAACAAAAGCCATTCCTCAACCAGCAAGTGCACACAGATCCCACTGAGATGGGATTATGAATTAGACAAATTAAGAAAACTGATCCCCCTCAGATAAGGCAAATATGAAGATAAAAGAAGCCATCTGTGCAGCTGGAGAACTCGCTTTATCCCCAGCAACAGGTAGGAGAAGGCAGAGCGTGTATTCACACACCCCACCCTGATGTCATCAACTCCCAAAAGTGCTGCCAGCTCAGAGCCAGGGAGGCAGGGTGAGCTCCCAGCAGGCAATGCCAGCCCTGCCCTGCTGTCCCACAGAACAGGCAGCTTTCTGCCAGCACAGGGAGCCCAGCTGGCTCACTGAGAGCACCAGGAAAAGGCAGGATCACAGGACTGGGAATGTGTGACCATCCCAGTGTGCTCTGGCTCAGAGCACAGCCTGACGTGCCAGTGGAGCTGCTGTGGCACCGTCACCAGCTCCAGCCCATCTCCAAAGCTGCCAGAGCTGGGGAAACTGGAGAACTGAACACAAACATTATCCCAACTGCCAATACTGCCCAGCCCAGCTGCCAGGGAATCACAGATTTATGAGAACACAGCACAGGCAGCATTAGCAGGGAAAGCAGAGACACAGGGGTTTAGTTTGGGGGTCTTTGTTTGGTTTGTGGTTGTTCTCTTTAAATGAGGTACAAGAATGTCCAGGCCCGCTGTCAAACACTCTCTGCAGGGGCTTATCCAACACTTCCCCGGGCACTAAGGGGACACAAACATGGTCAGAGAGTCACAGAGCAGCCTGAGCTGGAAAGGACCCCCAAGGATCATCCAGTCCAACCCCTGACCCCGCCCAGGACACCCCAAAAATCCCACCCTGTCCCTCACAGCGTTGTCCAAACCCTCCTGGAGTTCTGGCAGCCTTGGGGCTGTGCCCACTGCCCTGGGGAGCCTTGGCAGTGCCCAACCAGCCTCTGGGGGAAGAACCTTTGCCTGGGATCCAACCTGAGCCTGCCCTGACACAGCTCCAGCCGTTCCCTGGGTGCTGTCCCTGCTCACAGCCCCTCCAGCCTCTGATGTTGCCGAGCTCTAACACAACAACCCCCAGGGACTGCAGCAATTCCACTGCCCACGGTCACACCCGCCCCAGACCCCAGCACTCCCACCTGCAGGGGCAGCAGCACAGCAAGGATTAAATGCTTCCCAGATAAATACATCAGATTTCTGACCACATTTCAAGGGCAGGGTGAGATGCACTGCTATCCCTAATAGTCACACATCGTCATTTTTGGTCCAGTTCATTCAATTTTGAAGTTAAACACCCACCAGTTGCCTCATGTCCCTCTGTCCCCATCCTCCTCCCATCCTCTGGATTAAGTTTCAGGCAGCAACTCGCCCAGCTGCTCTTTCACTCCAGACACAGACTTATCTCAGCACAACCTCCTCCAAACCCAGGCCATTGCACAAATGCCTGTAATGTGCTGAGGCCAAAGCCAAACTCCACCTCGCAGCCTCTCTGTGTTGCCCACTATCCCAAAACCACCAATATCCACTGCTGCAAAGCCACAGATAAAAGGGATTTAAGCAAAGAACAGCAGACAGGCAGCTCCCCATCCTGGGAGAGGAGGAGAACTCGCACAGCTCATGTTAAGCCTCAGAGAAGTGTCACAGGACAAAGGCACAAACAGCAGGGACACACGTGCTGGGCTCCAGCAGCAAAACCCACAGGGAACTGCTCAGTGAAGCTCCAGGATGAGCTCCTTCAGCCCACTCAACGACCTGGACAAGGTGCTGAAAGGGGAAAGAACACAGCTCCCTCTTTAGAGGGCTGCTCTCAGCACCACTGACCACATTCACCACCCACAGCCCAAAGCTTTGCCACTTCAGAGTGGAGCAAAAGGGTTTCGGTGGCTTTTGTCAGTCTCACAATGGAAATTTTGGGGATTTGAGGCTGGGTGCAGTGGAGGGTGGGAGTCTGAAGATGGAAATGGCCAAGAAACAAGAGAGATGAAAGTTCTGAGGCTTTTTTTTTTAAATTATTCTTAATTTTCTCAGATAAGGATATCTGTTAATCTCCAAATATTATCTGCATTCTGACAGCAGGAGAGACAAGAGATGGAACTGTTTGGCAGTGCCCTTTAAAAAACTGCTCTGATGTCTTCAGAGCCACAAACTCCTGAAATCACCAAGAAGCAAGAAAACAAGAAGATAAAAGATACACTAAAAGCATAAACACCCTTTCCCTCATCTTCCTCCTCCAAGTTTTCCACTATCAACTCCGAGAACAAGATTACTGACACTTCCTGCAGGGAAGGCTCAGAATGTACAAGACAAAGAAATAGAAATCAAATTCTCTCTTCTCCTCATTTATTGAATTTTCCTTATTTATTTCACACTTTCTTCATGAGTTTCCTTCCCATTCCAGGAGCAGGAGGAAGGGAGGAAACCATCAGTGCCTTGCTAAGGTACCTAAACTGCACAAAATCAAAGTGTGGGGCTGAAGAACACGGTCTTGGAAAGCCAATAACTCAAATCCTGCGGGATCTCAGCTCACAGAGCTCCTGGAATCTTGGCCAGCAGGATCTATATGGAAAACCTTTAGGGAGATACAGAGAAAATGCAATGGATGAAGGAGGGAAAGTATGAGACTGAGGCAGAAAAACCTCAAGAGAAACAAGAAAGAGAGGTTTAGCTGCAAGAGAAGGGTGAAATGTCACCTTTCCTGGAAAATCGTGCTCATTCCAGGATGTGGAAAAGCCCGGTGACAAAAGGATGCCACGGCCAAAACTTTCCACATCACAGTTACAAGAAGAAGGGGAAAATAAAAGGTGAGTCACCGCTGCAAGGCAAACCTCCAAAACACAAACCCAACCTCCCTTCTCTCAGGGACGCCTGAATAAACTAAGAGCTGGGAAAACTCAGCATTTTTAGGAATTTCTTCGGGCATCAAAGCTCCGTGACCTAATGCCATGACAAGCACAAAACAACTGCTGCACTCACTCTGAACCTGCTCTCAGAGTGTGCACACTCCCTGTCTGAAAAGGAGCCTCTTGCCCAAATGAGGTGCCAAAAAACAATCTTCAGGGAACATTCCCACCCCCGTCATTCCACTGGCAGGCTGCACATGGAGCCACGGCAGCTGCTTTGCAGCAGCTTTAGACAGATTTTTAATGTCAGGTTTTCTCCTTTCTAAACCATTTTCACCTGCTCTTAGTCAACAGTCTCACTGTAGGTTAATCCAACCTGGAGAAACAGAGGTTCTCCTATCTAGTGATGTTGAATTAAAATCCAGCTCATTATTATGATGAAGAGAAGGAAGGAGAGAAGGAAGGAGAGGAAGGAGGTCTTTCACCTGAGAGGGCACCTTTCTATGAATCCCATCACACCACAGTCCTCGTTTGCTGCTTTCTCCAAAACAGTAACTTCAGGGTTCTAAGGATTTTTATTTCTTTTTTAAATGCTGCTCTTAAACTTGGTAACAGAGACAGGACGGACTAAATGTGGATAAACAAACTGAACTTGAGAGGAACACACCAAGGAAGGCTCTCCAAAACAGACCTACATCGAGCTGACCTGCCACACATGAATAATCTCCTCCAAGACATGATTTTCTCCTCTGTGCTCTTTCACAGGAGCACTGATTCAAGGCAAAAGGAGCCAGGCAAGGAAGAAAAGCATTTACATCCAACTTCCAGGAACATAACACAGCCAACTACAGTAACAAGCTATTCTTTCAAGTCACCCTAAAAATAGGTAAATTCTCTTCTTCCAAAGAAACCCAAGGGGCATCTCTCCCAAATCTGCCACCTCCTCGCTGTGCTGGGAGATTAAAACACCTCTGCCTGGGTTTCTGGGGAGTTTGAACTGAGGGGCTCATTATCTGCCCCCTCCTGTAAGCTCCCTGTCCTGGCTGAAGGCTTTATCACTCCTGCAGCCCTGGATTAGGTTGCTCAGCTACTTCAAACGTTAAACACAGCCCTGGGCTTTGTGACAGGAGCCAAAAAAAAGGTGGCCAGGAGTGGAACCAGGGCAGCAGACAATGCCAGGCAGCCAACCCCACAACACCATGGGGTCTGAGCTCACTGGGGCCCAAAATAAACCTGCTACAAGTATTGTAACACTTGTCACACGATATATTTCTGTTCTTTTACAACCACCACTCCACTGTTTGATGATCCAACAGGTGGAGGCTTAGCTGTTCCTCCTACTAAGACAGATTCCAGCCTGACAGGTTTTTAGTTTGTTAAACCACACACACACACACTCACACACTTCCCAGTCAGAAGGGAGAACTCTCGAGTTCAGAATCATTCCAGCAGCTCAAAAAACTGCTATTTCAATCCCTCCTTCCCCCAAAACACAGAGATTAAGTGGTTTTCTTCCCCATGCCTTTCACTTACCTCTCCCATGGCCCGTCCCTCCAGAGCAAGTGCTTGGAAATCATGATTCAGTTCATCCATGGAACGCACCTGTTTAGAGATGGGGAAGGAAAAGACATGAAGAAATGCTTTTATTTGCTGGGGTTTTATGATAATCAGAGTTTATGGCAATCTTTCTGATACAGACTGAAAGCTACATTCCCTATTACAGCATGTAACAGAGTTATGGAGCTCCACAGCATGACTTACCTTTATGACTCCCGGAAGCTGCAACATTTATATACTTCTATTATTAAATATATATATATTATATACAGATTTACTTAAACATGTTAAATTTACACTTGCACAAGGAAGGAACAACTAGCAATTACTTTTAAGACACACAAAATCCAACACAACTGCCTTTGCTTGTATTTCACAGTTGCTTGGTTTCAGGTGAGGGAGTCAAGGCATAAGTCAGGGAGTCAGCACCATTTCAGGTGGAAATCAAGTCAAACCTCCTGTATTAACCAGGCAAAATTACATTCAAGTTAAACTGATATGAAAGAGAAAAGTGATTTCATGAAAATTGAGTCATTTAGAAAAGAAGAAGAAAAGCAGCAATTTAAAACTGTTGGTTAAGTAAGTTCATAAAACCACAATATGTCAAGTTGGAGGGACCCCCAAGGACCATCCAGTCCAACCCTCAGCCCTGCACAGGCCCAGCCCCAAGAGTCACCCCCTGTGCCCCAGAGGATCAGCCAAACCCTCCTGCAGCTCTGGCAGCCTTGGGGCTGTGCCCACTGCCCTGGGGAGCCTGGGCAGTGCCCAACCAGCCTCTGGGGGAAGAACCTTTGCCTGAGATCCAACCTGAGCCTGCCCTGACACAGCTCCAGCTGTTCCCTGGGTGCTGTCCCTGCTCCCCACAGAGCAGAGATGGTGCCTGGTATGGACTGGATATGTTGAAAATGCAAGAAACCACTTCTGATTTTTATTCCCCACAGATGCAGCTCCTGAACATGTGTGCAGAAGCAAATAAAAAAAATCCAACAACTATGGACTTGAGGACAAAGCACAGAAGTCAAACCACGTGCTGGCACCGTGAGGAGATCATGGCCCTCCCCAGGCACCACCCCTGTGTCCCAGCAGCCACCAACACTCAGGCAGCATTCCACACCTCCTACTCCAGGTTCACACGAGCCCTGCAGCCCAAAGGTCTCTGCTGCACCTCTGTGCTGAGCAGGGCCTGGTTTATTAAACACTCAGTTCTGAGTAATGCCCAGAATGCTCCTGGCTCCTCACAGCACGCTGAGGGTGAGCACACAGGGTTTAGTTGTGTCTCACTGAGGACCGAGCAGGTGATCCAAACACAGAGGGAAGGAGGTCAGGAATACTTGGTGGGTGATTTACAGGACCAAAACCACCCCAAAACTGCTCTAGATGCTCACACACCACCAGTGCCCAGTTACACCATGGCCACTGAGCTCAACCCTGCTTCTGATACTCAAGGCACCACTTCCAGCAGAACCACGTCAAGACTTTGAGGTGATTACATTTTACTTCAATTTTAAGACAAGGCTCTATCTATCTCACCCAAGAATATCAGATGTAGGGAAAGCAGCACAGATAACCTCCAGAAATCCCCTCCAGCCTGAATTCTTCAACTATTCTGTGACCACACCACTTTGCAAAAGATTATTAATATATTATTAAATTATCTAATATATATTTACATAATTTGCAAATCCTCAGTAGTTGGTCACTCAGAATCTCAGTTTAAAAATAAGGTGTGCCCTCGTTACTGCATCTCAGCTCCAAGTGACTTTCAGTCACACCACCATCTCCCCACCTTGTGTGGTGACGTTTGTCACACTGACCACGAGCACCGAGTGAGAACACGACTGCACCTTCCTGAAATGACAGCTCTGGGCAGCACCACGGACTGTGCCTCCCTGTCAGCTCCATCCCAGCCCTGCAGCACAGGCAGTTCTGCTGCTGATGCCACACAAATGTCAGTAAGACCAAATTCTTCCGTGAAGCACTTCGGGCTGAACTCGTGGGAAGTGCTGCAGTCCCTGGACCTGCCCAGCCACAGGAGCAGGCAAGGGACAAACTGTTGTTTTAGTGAGGGCTAGAGAAGCTGAGCAGAGACTGAGCAGGTGATGTGTGTCCCTCTGGCTGCTGGAGGGATGTCACAGCCATACACAGGTGTGGCCACAATGGCACAACCCAGGGCTCTCAGTGCTGGGGGACAAACAGAGGCTGCTTGGGGCCCGTCCACCACCTTCCCCAAAAAATAACCTCCCAAAGGTGGATGCTGAGCTATGGGAACCTCGAAACAGGGCAGCTAGAGAGACAGAATCATTACACTCCCAACATGAAGCAAAAGGGTATTAAGCAGCATTTGTATTTTGGTTTGGATATCATGGAATCAACAGAGCGGTTTGGGTTGGAAGGACCTTAAAGCCCATCCAGTGCCACCCCCAGCCATGGGCAGGGACACTTTCCACTAGCCCAGGTTGCTCTGAGCCCTGTCCAACTTGGTCTTGGACACTTCCAGGGATCCAGGGGCAGCCACAGCTTCTCTGGGCAACCTGTGCCAGGGTCTCAAGGCCCTCACAGCCAAGAATTTCTTCCATATATCTAATTTAAACCCACTCTCTGGCAGAGGGAAGCCACTGCCTCTTGGCCAGTCACTACAGGCCCTTATCAATAGTCTCTCTCCCTCTTTCTTTTTGGCTCCCTTCAGGTACTGGAAGGTCACAATTTGGTCACCCTGAAGTTTCTCTTCTCCAGGCTGAACAATCCCAACTCTCTCACCTTTCCTCACAGCAGAGCTGCTCCATCCCTCTGGATCAGCTTTGGTGCCTCCTCTGCTCTCACTCCAACAGGTCCACGTCACACAGTAGGAAGGAGCTGCCTCCACCACCTCCCCAAATATACTCTACCCCAGTCACCATGAAAAGCACAAAACCAAAATAATACTGGCTTCTTTATAAGCCATCAGAGGGGGGTAATGGAGGAAATTATTCACTATAGGTATTTAAGTCACATCCCTAATCATCTCTCTTTATCCATAATTATCAGAATTGCTGAAAAGCGTTTTCTAAATCGTGTCTTTGTGCCTGACTTCCAGCACTCTGTGCTCAAATTGTCTATAATCACCAAATTGAGGCCCTTTCTCCCAGTTTTTTTATCTGCACTGACCATTGTGTCTATTTATTTGTAAGACAGGCCGGTTTGTTATTCCATTTTCAAAGACTGCACCCAAAAGATCCTTTTCTCATTTCCCTTCTATAATATTCAATACCAACACCTCTTCACCTCGTTTTCTTGCACAGTACACAAATATCACAGGGCTTATCACGGAATCACAGAATCAGACAGGTTGGAAGGGACCTCTGAGATCATCAAGTCCAACCCTTGATCCAACCCTGCCGTGGTTCCCAGCCCATGGCAC